GAGCAAGAAAGGAAATAAAAACCATCTATGGCATTAGAAAATTCTCAATCTCGATCTATTGTAGTGTAATCCTTTCAAATCTTTTTCTTTTGGCCAACCTATGAAAGAATACCATATACCTCACCATTTCACGAAAGTGACTTTGCTTCGAAAGAGAAGAGTACAAAGCAACAACCTTTAACATACAAAAACAAGTATTGGTAACAGTAGAGAGTTAAAACAAGGGAAATGGATTCATAATATCCAGACAGAAAACAGAAACTACCTTAAAAAGCCACCAAACAGAGACTCAAAGTTATGAAGAACCTAAACACTTAGATAAGCTTCAAGTCCTCTACATGGTCAAGAAAGATGCGAACTATACTATACTTAGACATACCCATTATCTCAACTCTTACGATAGTGCTCCTCTCGGTATTGAAGTATAAAAAGTAGTAAGGAGGGGAATGGAACGACCACTTATATTGAAGCATCACAATTTCATTTGTACCAATAACTCCAACAAAGAATACCCCGGCATCTCCAACCACGTTCTTCCACGTAGGAGGCAACAGATATGTATGCTCAGACCATTCTTGTCTCTCGAGATCTTCTAGAACCCACAACTTAATACTTGTAGTTGTTGACTTAAGTTTCTTCCCGTCTCCAACCCCAAGTAAACCTAATTTACCATTGTAGTTTATCATCGTTCCACGTAACACTGCCCCTGCGAGAGGTCCATTGACTTTAATAAAGCTGAGCTTCTCAGACCTAACCTCAAAGCAACTGATCATATATGTCTCTTTAGATGTGCAAACAGATGGAAAATAAATAACACCATTGATGCATATCTCTCTCTCTGGATAAAACTCATGTCTGCTATACTTTATCATTCTCCATGACGGGTGGTTTCCAGTTCCTAGCGTCATTACCTGATGCTTCTCAGACACCAAATTCTCTCTTTCAGAACCTGCCCGCGTCATAGACAGAACCTTGAAGTGTTTATCAATCGGGTCATACCCAAACAAGCTCCACGCTTCAGCTCTCGTCGCCTTCACTTTGGGTAAAGGTAAGCACTGTCCCGTGCTAGGGTTACATATCACCGGCACTGTTTCCTTCTTTCCCTTTGAGACCCGTTTGTCTACAAAACCTACCAAGCCATGAACAAGACCCCTGATTTCACAGTCCTCACCAAAGGAGAGCTTCATATGGGAATTGACGACTAGAGGAGACGAGTTCTCGTCCGGATTTTGAGGCTGAGGTGCCGAGAAGAAGAACAACTCATCCATATTTTCGCAGGCGAACAGTATCTTTGGGCGAGCGCAAGATCTGCTCAAGAACAGCTCCGTAAAATCTGGATCGCGAAGTATGGAGGCCCAGGGCTTCGATACGCACCGACATTTAGCTATAGACTTGAGTGGCAACCTCGAGAATATCTCGTAAACGAGCTCAACTGGGATCGGCAATGAATTTTCTCTTCCGTTTCCTGAGGTCTCCGTACGCCTGCGGCTCTCGTTGGTAAGGCGATCCTCCGCGATGGTTTGCCGCCGTGTTTTCATGGCGGAGGCGGCTTAGGTCAAAAGTTAAAACCTAAGAGAGACTCCAATGGAATAAGACCTCGGCTCTGCTCTGAACACCAATGTGGAATAAGAGTGAAAACAGATTTTCACGTGATGGGCTGAGCAGAAGCGGAAGCCCATGAAGCCCAAAAATAGTAGTGCCCATATGAAAATATAAGTGTTTGTTATAAAAGGAATAATCATCTACATGTTGTCATGTTGTTATCAAAATACTCCAACGAATTTGATGTAAGATAAGGGTGACTGTATTTTATATCCATTGTTTTTTTCAAGAGTGACAAAGGAAATAAAACCACTTATATGACATTAGAAAATTCTCAATCTCGATCTATTGTAGTCTAGTCCTTTTATCTTTTTTAATTTTGCCAACCTATGAAAGAGTAACATATATAACTCACGCTTTCACAAAGTGGCTTGCTTCTAAAGAGAAGAGAGTACAAAGCAACAAACTTAACATACTACAGAGTTAAACAAGGGAATGGAAATACAATATCCATACAGAAAACAGAAATGACCTAAAGCCACCAAAACAGAGTCTCTCAAGTTATGAAGAACCTCTAAACACTTAGATAATCTTCACGTCCTCTACATGGTCTAGAAAGATGCGAACTTCACCAAACTTAGTCACATCGAGTCCTTGGATCTCAACTCTTACGACAGTGTCCCTCTCGATATTGAAGTAGAAAAGGTAGAGAGGACCAGGAAGCCGGGAATAGAACGACCTCGACTTCATCACAATTTCATTTGTACCAATAACTCCAACAAACTTTAACCGGGCTGTTTTTCCAACCACCTCCTTCCACAAAGGAGGCAACAAGTACGTATGCTCAGACCATTCTTGTCTTTCGACATCCTCGAGAACCCACAACTTGATACTTCTAGTTCGTGCATTAAGGTGGTTCTCCCCCTCTCCCTCTCCAGCCCCAAGTAAACCTAACTTACCATTGTAGTTGATCATCGTTCCATGGAACACTGCCTTGTCGAGAGGTTCATTGACTCTAATGAAGCTGAACTTCTCAGACCTAACCTCAAAGCAACTGATCATATATGTTGATGTAGATGTACAAATGGATGGGCAATACAAAACGCCATTGATGCATATCTCTCTCTCTGGAAAAAAGTAGTATCTGCAACACTCTACCATTCTCCATGACAGGTGGTTTCCTCTTCCTAATGTCATAACTTGATGCTCCTCAGACACCAAAGTGTGTTGTGTATCACCTGCCCGTGTCATAGACAACACCTTGAACTGTTTATCAATCGGGTCATACCCAAACAAGCTCCTCACTTCAGCACTCGTCGTCATAATTTTGGGTAAAGGCAAAGACTGTCCTGTGCTAGGGTTACATATCACCGGCACTGTTTCCTTATTTCCCTCTGAGATCCGTCGTTTGTATAGAAAACCTACCATGCCATGAACCAGACCCCTGATTTCACAGCGACCATCTAAGGAGAGCTTCATATGATAGTTGACGACCAGAGGAGACGAGTTCTCGTCCGCATTTTGCGGCTGAGGTGCCGAGAAGAATAACAACTCACCCTTTTTCTCGCAGGCGAACAGTATCTTTGGGCGAGCCGAAGACCTGCTCAAGAACAGCTCCGTGAATTCTGGGCGGCGAAGCGTGGAGGCCCAGGGCTTCGATACACACCCACATTTTGCTACAGACTTGAGTGGCAACCTCGAGAATATCTCGTAAACGAGCTCACTTGGGATCGGAAATGAGTTTTCTCTTTCCGCGCGCCTGCGGCTCTCGTTGGTAAGACGATCCTCCGCGATGGTTTGCGGCCGTGTTTTCATGGCGGAGACGGCTTAGGTTAAAAGTTACAACCTTCGAGAGATTCCTTCTAGACGAACCAACCACCGCGAGATCGCAATGGAAAAAAGCGTGAAAACAGATTTTCACGTGATGGGCTAAGAGGAGCGGAAGCCCAAAATTAGCAGTGCCCATATGAAATTATTAGTGTTTTGTTAAAATAAGAATCATCTACATGTTGCTATCAATTTTAAATTCATTATTCGAATCTATATTCTCATCTACATGTAATACTCCACATAATTCTAATATCATCTAAACATCTTTAAAACATTTTAATGCTTCACACAATTCTATTATCTAAATGATGATATTTGTACATTCAGATTTTGGAGTATAATAAATAACTAACATGATCCGATCAACATAAAATTCAGAGCAAATAATTTAGATTGTTATCATCATATATCGTAATGTCGTTTCAGTAAAATTTCACTAATATTTGTAACAAGCTGCATAGCCGTAGACTGTAGTCCCCAGAACAATGTTCATCAACTTTTTTTTTTTTTTTGGATTGTCATAGTAATGGGCCTACATTCGTACCAAAAAAAGCTATTAAGTATGGCCTAACTCTGAGCTGGGCCAAAGCCTATCACATAACTAACATTTTAAAGGACGAAAATTCGGTTTAGTTATATTTATCCCACATCGGTAAAACAGAAGCTGCTCTTTCTCAAAGTTAGCATATAAAAAGGAAGCTCGGCTGTACTCACAATTCATACCTTTCTCGGCCTTTTGGCTAAGATCAAGTGTAGTATCTGTTCTTATCAGTTTAATATCTGATATGTGGGCCATCGGCCCACACGATATTAACTCTATTTTTTAAGGGAGAAAGCCCACTAAGATAGCTTGCTATCTGGGCTTTCGCGAGTTGCCCATGCGTTGCACTACTGCACGGGCCTGGCTCACCCCACTAGATAAAGTTCAATTTTTGTTTGTCCTGTGTTTGTATAGTCTGTTGTTTTTAATTAAAAACTGTTAGTGACAATCAAAGTGTTTCAGGCTTGGGTATTCTCATGTCATTAATATTAATACTATAATTATATTAATGATTGGCTTAATTTACTTTATGGACATGAATCCCCAGTCACACTATTTACATGTAATACTCCACATAATTCTAATATCATCTAAAACATCTTTAAAACATTTTAATACTTCACATAATTCTATCATCTTATCTAAATGATGATATTTTTACATTCAGATTTTGGAGTATAATAAATAACTAATGTGATCCGATCTACATAAAATTCAGAGCAAATATTTATTTTCTTTAGGCAAAATTGTAATCCACAGTAACCAGAGTTTTGACACACAAGTCAAGTGTACCTAATTACCATTGTAGTTTTGTTAGAGTAAGAGTTGCACCATATGCACTCTAGTGAAAACTCTCTGCGATTTGAATAAATCTGAACTTCTCAATTCCAACATCAAAGCAAACGACTGAACCCTCTTTGTAACAAAAACACCATTAATGCATATCTTCATAACGTGAAGAATAATTGGGCATGCAACATATTTGATCTTTTTTCCATGATGGTTCTCCATTTTCTAATGTCAGAACTTGGTACCTCTCAAACACCTTGTTTATTTCTCGAATTTAAAATATCATAGTCAATACCTGTTATTGTTTCTCAATCGAATTATAAAATTTAATAATATTAATATATGTGAAAATATACAATGGTAAAAATACACAAGAAATCACCCCAGAAAACACAACAACACATTTTCTTTCTTTTCATATAAACAAAAGAAAGTAAACACAAACACATTTGCCTCTGCAAACAAATCTCTCTACTTTAAACACTTAGAACAAATGAAGCATCATGGCGAGCATGAATCCAAATCCCAAAACAAGGCTTTTCGTGGCGGAGGAAGAGGAGGAGGAGGAGTCAACCGGAGGAGTTTCTGCGCCGGAAAGATCAGCCGTCGTGGTGCCAGTAGCACTAGAAGGGAAGCTCCCGACGGTTTTGGTGGTCGTGCTGCTAGAGCTAACTGGTGAGCCTGGAAACAACGGTAGAGAAGTCCCCGCAGCAGCAGCCGGAGAAAGTGCTGGAGACTGTGCCGGGATAAGAGGCAGGGAGGAGGAAGGAAGCGGAGTAGAAGAAGAAGAAGAAGAAGAAGATGGAGAGAGAACAGGGACGACGGGGTTAAGAGGCAACAGAGGTTGTACTGGTAGAACAGAAGAAGGTGAAGGCGCGTTTAGAGATGGGACAGCGTTTGGAAGCGGTGCGGTTGATGCTGCGTTTACGGTTGGAATAACGTTTACTTCAAGTTTCATCCCTTGGGTACAATGTCCCGGCATACCACAAATGAAGTACCTGAACAAAAATGGAATCAAGAATTATAAAGAAATGCTAAGTATATAAATCATCATATGGCCTTGATTCGTATGTGAAAAGTATGAACCTTTTTCCAGGAGTAGTAAGAGGAACAATGGAGTTTCCATTGGCGAATGTTATAAGCGGTTTAACCGCTTGACAGCTTTCGAACTCGGGTTTTGTGACTTCAACGACGTCATGGAATGCAGAAGGGTAGGCGAAAACTGTTTGGAGCAAAATAACAGAGTTTTTGGTTTTTAGTCTTTTATGTTGAAAGAAAGTTATGTAAAGATGTGTGATTAAATTTAATTACCAAGATTGTCTCCAACAGCAAATGTTTGTCCTGCAGCCCAAGTTCGAAGATTAGCTCCCACGGTCCAACCACTTGGACCACCAATGGTGTGGTCTGTAGCTACTGCTAAACCGATGAGTGTAGTTGCGAGAACCGAGATTATGATCTGCATTTCTCTTGATGCCATTTTCTCTTTAATGTTTGGGAGAATATCAACTGGAGAATTGAAAGATAGATCAAGAGATGATGATTTTGTGGTGCTTCAGAATTTGTGTCAAACTGTGTGTATATATATAGTGGTTAAAGGAGAAGAAACTTTTGTGACAAGAGTTGGTAAATAATTAACTTGTGTTTGTATCTGTTGAGAGTTAGTATTTATGTTGGAACAAGTAAAGAACTAATAATGGATCATTTTTTATTTCATTCACCTAATCCATTAAAAGCCAGACAATCTTCTTGCATTCTTGGTACTACAACACTTGTCCAGACAAAACAAGTTTAGTTGCGCCTAAAGCAAGTTCCTTTAAAGCTTTTAAGATTACAAAAACAATGTATAAGTTTTATATTATTGATAAGAGAAATAGTCTATGAAAGTTACACATCTTCCTGTATATTAGAGCCAGTGTAGTAGTATCTTTCTCTCTCTGTAATGGAAGTTACAAGTTACAGTATATAAGTAAACAGAGTACACTTTGTATATGTGCTTGTTGTTCAAAAACTTGTTTCAAAAACTAAGCACAGAAACAAGACAAGTTATGGGACATTTATACACCGAGGCTGTGACTATGATGAGCAAGCGGCTTCTCCTGTTCGCTGTTGTTACCGTTTTGGAGTGAAACCGGATTAGACTGATGAGAAGTACGCTTGGGTTTGTTGATTTTGTTCCAAACGTTCTCTATACGGAAAAACGCCCATTGGAACCGCCTGTAGATCTCCAAGGCAGTGATGATGAAGACTGTGATGTAGTTGTTACGGAGATGAGCTGATAACTTGTACGTCCATGTCCACCTTAGCACCAGATTACTTCCGATCACCCAAACATACACCTGAAAAAATTATACATATAGATTAGCTTTAAACATCATGCTAGTGTAATTGAACAAGGTTAATGAAAAAAGAATGGAACTTTGGTTTACCCAACGGCGTCCATACAGAAGATGAGAGCAAATATTTGGTCTTGTGAACTTGAAAATCCGAGTGAAGACACTACAAAGCAAGGAAAGGGTTTAAGAAAGCTAAACCTGAATCCAAGATCAGAGAACTCTGTTTAAACTCAGTGTTACCTTAGATCCCAGTCGCGTAACACATCCCAAAAGAAGGAGAAGAAAGTGTTAGCTAGACCAAATAGGATCCACGCAGGCTGAATGGAGTAAGTCCATGTATCAGCATTGATAAAGTACTTGAGTGCTGATAGAAAGATGACAGGCACTGCCGTTAAATACTTCCCAGCTGAAAGAAAGAAAGAAGAAAGAGACAGGGCAGATATATTTAGAAATCCGGCGAAAAGCCAAACGAAAAAGGAAGTGACTCAGATCATTACCGTTCCAGATGTTTGCAATGTCCTTGCTATCTTTGTACTGACGGATGCATTGGAACAGCCGGAAAAGATAAGGTAGAACAAGAACCAAGGGTATTACAGCGGAATGGCTCCCACAAACCGAATCGGCTTCAAACCATGCAACAGTAGCTACCTACAATGTATCTATCAGACTCACTGACTATGGAATTGTGATAAGTTATTACTAAGAAAGAGGGAAACTCACTGACCTGTCGATGGACCATACGACATACAGAACGTTCTAAATCCGAGAGAACCTGAACAAAAGCGTTTTTGTTTGTTTTAACAAATGCATCCAACATATATAAAGGAAAGATAAAAAAGATTGTGTTACCTTTGACATAGAAGTCAAGATATCAGCTAGAAAGAAGTCTGAAAAGGTCACTGTCTGTTTATGATAATACCAATATGAAAGTTAGATGTTGTTATCAAACGATTTGAATCTTTTAACAGGAAAGAAATATATGTAATATTTGACCTGCACAGGGAAGAGAATGCGCCAAAAAGTCCATAGCAGGTAGTAGCGAGACGGCATGTAGAAGATATCGAAAGGGATGATCAGAATGATCACAGCAGAGAAATACAAAACAATCTGGAAACATCCGAAAAGGTTACTCTATGAACATATGAATCTAAAGCACTTTAGCAACAACTTTAAGAGAAGATGCATCTATTACACTGGTTGAGATGCAGCCAAGGATACATCTCCGTGCGAGTATAGATACAGATATGCAGTCATGCTGGTCAATATTATCGTCGTCATCCACCTAGCACACTGTGACACCAACAGATTTAGAAACGCATGAACAAATACATAGAAAACGGTCTATTTAAGAATTTGTATACCTTCCATATCTCTTTGTGACTAAGATGATCTGGTCCTAGATAGAAGATTGCTGCATAATCGACTCCAGACCGAGAAAAAACCCACAAATTAACACCCCAGAGCCAAACCATCATTGTCTGAAAGCAATTAGCATTTATTAGAGGAAACACACGTAAAGGAATTGACTTACTTGATTAGACAAGCACTTACAATGAGAAGGAGAGGGTTATAATACAGAAATGTCTCGTAGAAGAACAGTTCTCTTGTGTCTATTCCCATCTTCATTACAGATTCCCATCCAATCTGCAAGTTTTTAAAACAAGATCATAGATTGACAAGGGTCAAAACTCAAACAATGGATACAAATCGAAAGCTAAGATCGTTGTTTGCAATATGGATGATTCAAAAATCTCTAACCTTTCCACAAACATAAAGACCGCCAATATATAGAGCAACCTGGAGAATCAAGATTTTAGATTCTCAAATCAGTCTATTAGATTACATAGAAAAGGAAAAAGATTTCGAAGAAACCAAGCAAGAGAGCTTCTTCCGTGCACCATTACACATGCTGCTAACAAATTCAAACTCATACAGAAGATTTGAGTAAGTGAAGAAAACCTTGACACTTTTAAGGAATACAGGACTTCTTAATTTCGCCATTGTACCTAGTAGCATGCTTGCGCTCTTCGAGTAATTTTCTCCTGTGAAAACTTATTCTCAGTCACCATCTTCCCAGTTTTTCTTTCTCTCTCAAAATCACTAAGCAGAATTGTTTTTTTTGTATTCAAAGTTAAAAAAACAAAAGCAGAAATTGCTTACCAAGATTAGTGATTATGGGTTTACTTCCAGTTTTGCGCGAGTGAGGATTATTCACAGGCACAGACAAGACACCCCCAAACATAGATGCCACAAGCACAACCTTCAATATACATAAAAAGGAGAAGCTTTTAAGTTAATCACAACTGTATTTATAAATCTCTGTCTCGCTTTTGTTCAGAGACCAAGTCGCATAATCCGAAGATATTCCACTAAACAACTGTATAATAACCATGAAAGTGAACAACTTTACAAAGAAGAAGACAAATGGTTACCTTCCAAAACAGTCACCGATGGCTCACGCTTGAAGAAGGCGTCACAGCTCAACCACTTTCTCAAGAAGAAGACAAAGCAAACCTTTCCAAAAGAGGAAACGTTTCACCAATTTGCTTTGCTACTCTGAAGAACAACGCCTCACGCTGCTCAACATGAACAACTGCATCGAGATTATGTTAATCCCAATCGGTTTTAGCCAAGAAAACAGATTCAATTGAACCCCACAATATTCACTAAGATTCTGAAATGAAAAAAAAAAAAGATTCAATCTGAATCACAGAAAGTCGATGGCTTTAAAAGTGGCTGAAAGACTAAAGACCCTAATTCGGAAATGAAAATTAAAAACCCTCTTTGTACTTTAGCGGAAAAATATTTAATCAAAAAAAGCAAAAACTCGCATTAAGAAAAGGCAGCTCTTTTTTTCCGAAAACGTAAATGTAACATTGCGCTGAGTTATGAAACTACAGAGAAGAGAATTCGCGAGATAGCAGATGAAAATGGTATTACGTTCTAAGTATTAAGGAAGACTTCGAAGTTCGAACGCAAACCCAGAAAAGGAACAACCGTTCTTATTGAAAACCTCTAAAAAAGAAGCGACTTTTAATTGAAAAGAGGTCGGAGAAAGAAAAAAAGAACGTTATGGTGATTAATAATAACAACAAAATAAACTCTACAATAATCAATGACAGCGAGATAGAGATAAACAAATCGAACGAGTTTTTGGTTAAACTAAGAAAAGAATGTTCTTGTTTTGGTCAACGGTTTTTTATAAATTTGATTGACTTTATCATTTCATCTATACGTCAGGCAAAATCCCCAATAAATAATTTTTTTTTTGTTAAATGAAAATAAATAAAATATTTTAGATTTCATTTATAAAAGGTACATTACTTCAGGAAATTTATTCAGAAGATCATGAATTTGATTACACTCTGCATCTCTCATATAATTGCATGAAATATTTTACTTCAAAATAGTCAACCCCATTAAGGTTAGAGATATGGTTGGATTTACCCGTTTTAACATCTCTAAATATACATTTGTTCTTTTTGTGGTAAAGTATTTGCTTGAATTAATCTAATGTATCACTTAAATTAGTTCATGTTTTTCAGCAACATAGTCAACCCCATTAAGGCTAGCGAATATGCATTTTCAAAATTTATCACTTAAATTAGTTCATGTGTTTCATTATTTGTTCTTTTTGTGGTAAAGTATTTGCTTGAATAAATTTAATAGAGTTTAACATAGGAACTAGATGAAACCACACATCTATTACAACATAAAAGAATGAAAACTAACACAAGATTGCAAAATTTGCAAGGATCGAAAAGAGATAAAAGACAAAGCGGCATTTGCCTTGCCTTGGACCAGCAGCAACAAGAAGGAAAATGACCTTTGCTGTGCCGGGAGGCTAGAGCGTGGGAGAGTAAGACCTTGACCAGCATTGAAGAAGGTCTTGAAGGAGGAGAGTTCAAGTTCTAATGGTTCTTCATAGATTCATGATGAAGTTTCTGTTGTTTATTTCGATTATATAAATGATGGTGTTTATCATTTACTTCAGTATAATCGAGAGACTATAGACAAATTAGATATTGGACATCCTTATAATCCTATTTGTAAAACGTCCATAGTAACCACGATTGAAATCTTAGTTTATATATTTTTTTAACAAATTGTAGTATATTGAAGCATAAGATTAATTATAGATGTTAGTCTAAAAACAGAGAAATTAGGTTAGTTCATAATTTTTCGAATCATGATAACATGTATATATACGGGCTAGTTATAGTCGACTCCATTGATTTTTAAAAATTTTATGATAAATACATGATCTTTATGAAAACAATGGTTTTGTGAATTATGCGTAACAATTTTTACTTAGAGCTGTGTATATTTATGAAAATCTGCCTTTGAAAAATTCAAATCCAATTAAAAAAAATTCTGTTAATAAAAAAGAAGAAGAAGAAGATAAGTCAATGCCAACACCGAAATTTGTTAGTCGTCCACGGATAATATAATGCAATCATCTTTATTATCATTCTGGTTATGTATAAAATACAAATAACTCAACTGAATTACTGAAAGTGGTGAAGCAAAAGATGATCGACACATACTGACTGAAGATTCTTTATCGAATGTGGTTATTACGGCTAGTCAATGGTCCACAAAAACCTATATGAACCCTATGTTGAAGTCACATCATCCTTCAAAGTTACAGAAGAGAAGAACCATAGTGTTCTAATCGTTTGGAATTCTGGTGAAGATTTGGGATCAAGATTAATCGTTCAATTTCTTTCTCGCTCTAGCCTCTTCGGTAACTTTCTGCAGATTCTTTGCAAACCTTTTTTTTTTTTGGTTTTTATTAGCGGATATTAGTTTAAACAATTTAGGGAGGGTTATTGAAAAAGGGATTTATCTAGATTTTGAGAATTTTGAAATTCCATCATTATTGGTTTATTGATTCTTAAAATTTTACTATAATCTATTGTTATTGGTTTCAAGATTTTAAAATTCCATCCAAAATCTTTTGTTATTCAAAAAGTTTGACTTTTAAAGATTTTATGATTCTATTAAAATCTTATGTTATTGGGATATAGATTTTAAACAATTTAACTCATAGAATAAAATTTTGGAAGACTTTCAAAATATTACCTAAATGACTTAGATTCTCAAAATAATTATAATAAAATATTTTCATAGGTTTTTAAAATAAACAAACTCTTTCGAAATTTAACAAATCTTTTTAACAAATTTAACAAATCTCTCAATTCTTAAAATCATTCAAATTTTTATAAATCCATCTCCGAATAACCTCTCTTAATCTTTCCCTCGTTGACAACCATTACGGGATATGATTTCATTTGAACTATTTAACATTCGTTTATTATTTTTTTGTATTATTTTCTTTATACGACTTGTAAACTGAAAGGGTATTGAGAAGAAGTCGACAAACTATATCAGCCAAAAAAGTAAACCGAATGTAAAACTATTGTAAGATATCCTCTTCTTATTTTTTTTATTTTTTAAAATTCTGGTTCTTATTCAAATGTAAAGCAGAAAGAACGTTTTGGAGACTTCAAGAAACTTAGAAATGTACGAAGTAAAGTAGATTGAAAGAGATGAGATGTATAAACTGATTTTTTCCATATCGTACACAACGTCTCTTAATATATGTATTTATAGAGGAAAATGAGAGAAGTAATCCAGGTTTTCTCTATTCTTTATACACGAAATTGATCCCCAAAATAACTACCCACACTTGACATAATTTGCTCTGGATTTTAGCTAAGGAAACAAGCAACTTCAAGGATTAAATCATACCAAAATGAACAGTAGACTTCAACAACTACTTTGACTTGGTGTGCCTTGTCTTCTCCTTTCTCACACTTCACTGATTTTGCTAGTTTGGTTTGTTTCTCTCTTTTGCAGTATTAAAGGATGAGATTCCAACAGAAACTATTAACTAAATGCAATCTCGTCTAAAGTATATTCTCTACTTTATACTACTATATAAGAAATTCATCATGTCTCTTGATGTACGTCAAGGGATTGAATATCCCTCATAGTCTGACAAAAAAAAAAAAACAATTTATTTATCATTAGAGAGCCAAAACCTGCTAACATAGTTTTAGGAGAGGGAATGAGAGCAAAAGTTTCTAATATCGGGTTGCTACTACTACTATCATTTGTTTGTTCATCAGTTCACATTGAATTTATCTTTCTTGCTTACATCCATTACCAAATAAAATTTCGATATCCTATATAATGACTACTACTCTTTCATTTCATTGAGATTTGAGATAAGTCAAATGTGTTAAATGTGATAGTTTAATTTTAAATATAGTCTACTTATTATTATGATAGTTATGTTTTATTGATATAATAATATTAACTTGTTATTTAAAGCTCAGAACTAAAATTGAGTTTTTTTTTCTTTTCTGAATTACAACGATATAAAAAAAAGTATTTGATTTAAAATAGTTTTTGTAGCCGCCTCCTCCGACATCCTTGGAAACGGCTCTGATTGTACCTTGTGTAGACCAATGTTCTTTTTGTTTGTTAGTAGAAGCGATAGGATTGTATCGTGATAAACCTTTACACTTGCGTCAAAGTAGTAGAATTTGGTATATATGACTGCAAAAAAATATTTATTACGCCTATATTATTCCATTTCGATATTCCTATCAACATTTTGTTAATTTTATTTCTCAGAAAAAAAGAATTATCAATGAATCATTTTCATTTATAATTCCTTTTTTTTTCTGTGTGTGTGTAGTCAAATCATTCACTGATAATTCAATCTTACAAAATTTGGTATTGATTTTCTTTTGACTGACATGAGAGGAAATGTTGTTATTTCTTTGGTAAGGTAAAATAAGAAAAATGTATTGACTAAAATGATAGGAGTAGATAAGAAAATAAATCTCCTGCAAAAATTTGACTGGCATGTCTAATTAAAGTTAAGTTCATGGTTTTGCATACTAAGTACTATGGGATATTTTAACAAAAAAAGTAATATGGGATATGATATGATATCACTGCTTCATTTTGTTTTGACTCAGATTTTATTACTTACCATCAATGAAAAACAATAATGACGAGAGAAAATATTAATTTTTTTCTTCCTCAATTCCTCTCTAATACAGTATTCTGTTTTCTAATAATCGATAAAATATGTCCAAAAAATAGTCGATAACATAAAATGAGAGATTCTCCATTAATTCAAAAATTTCACAAAGCAGTAAAAAAAATCAGTGCGGTTCTCCATTAATTTCTTTTGTTCCCTTTAACGTATTTTAAAATTTTAATTAATCAAAATTTAAGGCACTGTGTAGAAGAGAACCAAAGCGTTATCTCCGTCGACGATACTCTGCCATTGTCATACCTTGGCTTAGCTCGAAACGTGTCCCCTTTCGCTGTTCCTAGACTACATTTTTCCGATTTCGTTGTGAAATGGAACCGACGGAAACGCCGTTGGAGCCGGTGGCTCAATTTGGCGAGGAATTTGTTCACGTCGATGACCCCCAGCCTCCCGGAGATATCTCGTTGAGCGATAGCATAGTGAATGTGGAGGAGGAAGAACATAGCGATTCCGGTTCAGTGATAACCGGCGTCGATTCAATCGGCGAATCTGGTGATATCGGTGACGATGATATCTGCGTTCGAGCGGAGGATGACGGAGAGCGTTCGGTGGAGACGGCGAAACTGGAGCTTCCTGAGGAATTCGCGAAAAGCGTTACGGTTCTAACGTGCGACTCGAAAGAGGAAGGCGGATCTTGCGATGTCTATTTGATTGGCACTGCTCATGTCTCACAGGTATATATCATATCATCTTAAAAAATCGAAACTTTGGTGACTGATTTTGTGATTTTGTTGAAATGTTGGATATACTGATGAATGATGATAGGATTTGAAAATTGATCATAGAATTTAGGTAGGCATTTGGGTATAATGTTTGAAGGTTGTGTCAATTGTCAAATTGAGTTGCTGAAATTGCCAATGCAGAAAGATTTGAGCTTTTAAGCCTTTGCGATTTTTTTGTTTTTGTTTTATAGGAATCATGTCGAGAAGTTGAAGCTATAGTCAGCTTCATGAAACCACAAGCCGTCTTCGTCGAGTTGTGTCCAAGTCGATTGTCTGTTCTCACACCTCAGACTTTGAAGGTTTTGCTCTACATGATTCTTGTAACATGTCCACTTTCAGTTTACTTCTTATGATCATCTAAGAATGTGATATCATGGACAAGATTGTGCATCATCATCATCATATATCATTGGCGTCTCTGTTTATAGTGTAAAACAGAGGATGTCCTGATTTTTTATTGGAATTACTACTATCGTATGAGTTCTTCCGATTGGAAGATTTTGATCTAGAGAATGTACTATCACTTGTTTTATCCATTTTCTTTACTCTGGTGCGATGTTTTTGGTTTTTTCCAGGTTCCGACCGTGTCGGAAATGATAGACATGTGGAAGAAGAATCACAACACATTCGGAATAGTTTACGGATGGTTTCTTGCAAAGGCACATGCTTCCTCTGTTTTCGATAGATCTTCTTTGATGGTTGCTTAAGTTTCCGTACCAATTAATAATCTTTTACATCATTTTTCTTATGTTAGATCGCAAGCAAGCTTGATGTTTTGCCTGGCGCTGAGTTTCGTGTGGCATATGAAGAGGCTAACAAATATGGTGGCAAGGTGATTCTAGGTGATCGTCCAGTACAGGTGACTTTGCTGATTCTAAAAATTATTTGTTCAATAGTCCTAAATTTTTTCTTTAATGAAAGTTATATGCATTGGTGGTATTCATTTTCTTTTGTATGTGTTGAAGCAGATCACGTTGAAGAGAACATGGGCTAAAATGCCTCTATGGCACAAAGTAAAGTTTTTGTACAGCTTAGTGTTTCAAGCTGTCTTTCTACCGAGCCCTGAGGACCTTGAGAAGATGGTACAGTATATAAAGCCTTTGCTTCCAATTTTCTTTTCGTTTTCTCTTTAAACCTTATGTGATTATATACTGAGTGGTGATTAAACTGTAATGGCTTTTTAGCTGAAAGATATGAACGATGTGGATATGCTGACTTTGGTGATTCAAGAAATGAGCAAAGAGTTTCCATCTCTCATGGATACACTTGTGCATGAGCGAGATAAGTTAGTATTCTATTGCTCTCTCTCTCTCTATATATCTAGTTCATTAGATTAATTGACCGATTTCTCTGTAATTGTTTTGCCAAATTTTGCATTATATCGTAGGTACATGTCATGTATGTTGCTAAGAGTTGCAAGTGAGCATAGCTCGGTGGTGGCAGTTGTTGGTAGAGGGCATCTTCAAGGGATCAAGAAGAACTGGAACCAACCTATAAATGTTAGTCACAATCTTTTAAAATTCGAATTCATTATACAAAACAGAGCTTAATCATTAATTCATCAATGTTGCTAATGGTATCGCAGATGAAGGATTTGTTGGAGATACCGACGAATGAATCATTTTTTACTCTAAAGAATATTCTGAAATCTCTGACGATTGTAGTCGCCGGGACAGCCATAGTTTCACGCATATATCTTGCAAGCAGAAGTTAAAATAATCTCAAATACAGAGAGAGTTTCTCATGAGGACAATAGCAAATTAGGCTATACAACAGATAATTATACATAGATCTTCAATAACTGATTATTAATCAATGTTGTCATGATCATATTTCTTTTTCAGTTGAATAATTTCATAATTATTATACAAATACATTTTTTTTTCCCCTTCCCATGTCTCAACTCAACTACTAAAAATTTTTTAGCATAGAAAGGAAAAACATGGATGCATCTCGAATTCTTTGAATCATGAATATCTAATTTACAAATATATATACACACACATATATTTTACAATATATATAATTTTTGTTCCCCATTTTATTCGTTATTCCACTAACTACCTAATCGAATATTATCACGTATAGACCCATAGTGTTATAACAGACGCACACACACAAATGACACAAACAAGACCCAACTAAACATCAAGTTACTATCACGAATTTCTTATTTCCCCTCAAGTCCTTTTTACATGCATTTTCAACAACTTGCATTCTTCACTATATATTACGCATTGTGGAATCATAATCCCTTTTCCCATCAACATAACAAAACACTTTCTTTTTTTTTGAAAAATATGATAGTGACAATTGTTTCATACAGCCAAGAATTCACCATGGAAATCGGAGAACAAGAATCTGTGTTGGACATCAAGAAACGATTAGGACAGTTTCTTCAGATCCCAACATCTTCTTTAACTCTCTTTGTCTCTTGTTGGGAACTCCTCGACGGCCTCGACGTCGAAGATTACCCAATTATCTCTCACGGCACCAGAATCGACCTCACCGTAACTCCCCTTTTCACCGTACCTTCTTTTACAGACTCCGCCGTTAAAAAAATCCATGTCACCGTCAAGTTCCCGTCAAAACAGTTCACAATCGAAGTAGACAGAACCGAAACGGTAACTGTAATGTTTCATCTCACATCTTGTTACAGTCTTTTATAAAGTTTTTAACGAGTTAAATGCTTTTGCAGGTAAGTAGCTTGAAGGACAAGATTCACATTGTGGAGAATACACCTATAAAGCGAATGCAGTTATACTTCTCCGGGATCGAACTAGCCGACGATTTTCGAAACCTAAACGAATACGGAATCGGAGAGTTCTCGGAGATTGTCGTATTTCTCAAGGCAATCAACCGAGCGAAAGACGTTGCTCCGGTGAGGAAACTCTGTTTCTTGGTGCAGACGTCATCGAGTTTATTCAACGGTGCGAGGATACCTGTGGAGATTAAGGACTCTTGCACCATCTCGGAGATGAGAGAAGGGTTACAAGCGAACAAGACGTTGCCACGAGACGAGTATATATTCGTGCACAAGCAACGGATTATGCGAGAGAACTGTAGTCTTCGGTGGCATGGTGTTGAAAATGGTGAGACTCTTTTTGTGTTCAAAGGGTCTATTAGTCGTGGTGGTTACTGAGATTTGCAAAATTTAAGCTTCTTATTCGAGTTTTTTTTTGTTATAAATAATAGTAAGTCACTCTCAAGTCTCAAGAACTCATGACGTTATGGGACTGATGGTGGGTATTGTATAGAAATTTATGGGAGGGAACTATATGGATTATGCATTTTCATATTTGTAGTGATGAATATTCAATAGAATTTGTTTGTTTTTATTTTTAAATGGTTAGATGAATAACAAATTATTTTTCTCGTTTATAACTCACACATGCAAACAACACTCAAAGCTTTTCAAAATTATAATAGCCCCTATGGCTATTTTTTGTTTTAATTAAATTTACACTCAAACCTTTTCAAAATAAACTTTTGGACCCCTATTAATTTTTTTAATATAGTAATCGTTTTTGGGCCTCTAATCATATCTATTTGAATCTTTCTACCACTTAATCTTTGGGCCCGCACACTTCTGCCCATCCCCTTTTGAATCGATTGAATGACAACTAGCACAAACGATGATACTACATATTCTGGTCAACACAAAAATTAAACATTACAATTCAAAATTAAGTCAAATACATTATACTGTACATAATCAAATAAATTCCTTCAAAAAGAGACTTTATAATAATTGTTATTGAATGGATAGACTCTACAAGTACAACTTCAAAATGATATAACTGTTGCTAGGTTTCCATAACTATGCAGTCTAATGGTAAAACAATTAGACTACATGTCCTATAGTCAACAGAATATTGTAACTCTATTTCAAAATTAAGGTAACTTAATAATCAAATAAATCTTTTCAAAATAGACATTATATAAAGTTTATAAAATTCTTGTTATTTAGTTATGGTGGAACATAATCCTTTTTGTTCTGATTTTGTTACGGACTCAGCATAGCTAGATAGTTTCCCGTTGTTAAAAAAACTTATAATTAACCAATTCATTTCCCATTGTTGGAGAATAATTACTTCACAGAACAAATCTTAATCAACTTCTGACCAGTCGGTTATTCCGTTAACCGGAAATGACCAAGTTAAATTGAAAAAGCCACCCCTCTCTCTCTCAAAAAGAGGATGTTGCTCTGTTTTCTACAGAGAAAAAGAAGAAGAACAGAAACAAAATAACCTAAACAGAAAATAAAGTTGCATTAACCTCTTTACTTGTAGAACAAGAAACACTATGACAAGGGAAATCACAAAAGCAAAAATCATACAAAATGGAATGGCTAAGAAATTCAAATCAAGAAACTCTAGGGATCAACTTTGTTGTCATCTTCACCGTCTCTTGCTTTCTCTTTTCCATCTTCAATTTCTTCATCATCCTTTGCTTCTTCGCCATTCTTCTTCTCTTCTTCTTTATCTCCAACTTTTTCATCTCTCTCGTCTTCTTCTTCATTCTTCATCGCTTTATCTTCCTCTTCGCCGTCTATTTTCTCCTTTCCCTCTTCCTCTTCTTCTCCGCTTCCTCTTTTACTCTCTGCTTCCGACGAAATCTCCTCCATAGAAGTATCATCTCCTCCTCCTTGAGATCTCTCTTCCTTGTAAACCAAATCAGGATGCATAAAGAACAAATAGATACGAGAATCTTCTCTCACCCCTAAATCTACCAACATCATTTCATCTTCATTCGCCACAACCATTCTTCTCTCCTCGTCATCTCCGATCACAAGTATTAAGCGCTTTACCGGTAATTTCACCTCCGTCGCAATCTTCTCCTTTAACTCCTTCACCGTCGCATTCTCACTCACCTCCGTATCAATATATGTCCCCGTTATTATCTCCACGCTCACCTTCATTGCTTCACTCTCTCCACCAAATCTTGTGATTTTGATTGTTAACACAAAGATTCATCTTTCTTCTGTTTCACTTTTGATATTTATGCCCTCTCTCTTTTTCTCTATGGTTTTTGTTTTGTATGAAAACTATGAACTAACCAAACACAACGCATGCGGTTTTCATTTTCAATTCAATATCAAATATCGGATATATTGTTTGATTTTATGGTAATTAGTATCTTACTATATTGTTATTTTATTTAAATTCTGTTGCGGATATCTTGCAACGAGATTTTTAATACATTTTGACTAAGTAGGATTTTTCCACAAACTCTCCCCCCTCAAGTTTAGGGAACTAATTAACAAAATTATTTAGTGAACTACATGATGGTCTTCTTTTTTTTTTTTTTTTTAATTTGCAACATCTTGTGGGCCGAGAACTACCTGAATCAAGATCATTGATTAATAGGGTTATACTTCTACTTATGTTTAAAGACTTTACAAAGAGAAACAGAAGAGTAGTCACTCGAATTTTCGGAAGTAATCCTCATAAGAAACTTAATTATAAATATATTTTCTTAACATTTTGTCGAACAACCAAGGATCGCTTTTACTATTTAACTAGTCCATTAACAAAGTCGTTATGATTTTACGACTTGAATTAAAGCTTAACGACGTAAACACAAAGTAAAACAACAAGATAATCAATGAAAAAGCGATAAGGCTTAAGGACTAAAGAAGCTAATTAAAAAGGCTAATAATGTTAGAAAATAAGGGAGAAAACATTGGATCATTGGCCAAGAAATTGATTAGAGCAGCAAACTAAAGAACAAATTATGATGCAAGGGCAACCAATTAGCTCGATCCTAGAACATATATATAGAATTCACAAACAATCTTACACCAAAAAAAAAAATTACCCCAAAAAAAACTCACAAACAATCCACTTCTATGACACTAATAATTATATTGATCATTCAATAATGTTACTTTTTCATTTATAATTCAAATCAATGAACACAATAATCAAGTCTATTCCATTAGCTAGGAAAAAAAGACATTAAACATTGGCCATTAACATCTCATTGAATTCACACGACAACTGCCGACGATTTTTGTTTTTATGGCCAAGTTAAAATTAGCATTGAATACGTCTTAATTAGAACAATCATATAATAACATAGCCCTAAATATCATAAATAATCATCAATCACACCTTATACCAAACTCATCCACTACATATTATTCGAGAAGTAATATTAGTGAAAATAGCTGACTTGTTAACACTACAACTAAAGTTAGTGCTTTTAATTGATGACATGTAAATGTGACATGTCAAACTTCCTAAAATAAACGAAATGTTTTGATTGGTTGAATTAAAATTATAGAAATTATGGAATTAAAACATAAATAAACTAGATTATATTTATAACACTAAAATTAACAAATTTAAATTAACAGAAAATAAAATTTATTATAATTTCAATTTTGTTTACATATATTCATAATTTCATAAAATATAATTATGAAAAAATTTCAATAATATAGATATATATTATAATTTCATATAAAAAGATAAAATAATACTAAATTATCCAATAGAATAATAAAAATTCTATTTATTAATAATACTTGAAGTATGATATATTTTTATTTTGGAAAGTTATTAATTTACAAAATATATTAATAACATCTAAACAAGTTTTAAATAAACAAATTATTAAATAATACAATTTAAATAAATACAATCATGATAAAAATAATTTAAAGAATAAAATGTTAAAAATAAGAAAAAAATCAAATTTTATTGATTTTTTTTAAAAAAAACGTAATTTTAAATAATTTTTCTTTTCAAACCAATATTTACTAAATGAATAAAGTATATACTAATTATTATTTTATAACATTAATAGGACCATCTATTTTTCTATAACTTTTATCATCTTTTTATTGTTGTTTTGTAAAATGTACATTACTTATGTTACCATCTCATCTTACCTCTTATCATATTTTAAATAATAATAAATTTTATATCATAGGTATATATATATATAAATTTATTTTCATTGTATATCAAAATTAAATGAAAAATAACCGAACGAAAGAATAAATTATAATAAGATGAAACAGTATGAATAAGAATTAAAAATAGAAGTATGTAAAAATAAATTTCTCGCACTTTGTTTTACAAAGTCACTTAAAAATTTTTTAAAGAGCTATATTTCAATTTTTTTACAAATACGCGTACAAACATAAATATTAATTATACATTAGTTGAAGTCACATGCGAACTTTTCCGTGCATGTATTTTGTTATGAATGATTACAGACTAATTTTTATTTTAATTATTATATAATTTATATTTTTTTGAAAATATTTATTTATTCTAAATGTAGTGAAGTGGTTGGTATATCCGCATATGCGTGCCAACCATCTATCCGCTCTTAAAAATAAATAAAAATGGTAAAAACTATTTCAGTTTAATTTACAATAAATCAAAAAAAAATATATACTTTAAATATATTATATATGTATTTGCAAATTCATATTATGTAAGACCCAAAAAGCATATTGTGGATTGTGTAAGGAGAAATAAAGCATATTATAGAAATATTCAAAAGATATTATAAAAAATTAATTATTATTTAACGTAACTTTTATATTTGTGATTATATATTATTACAAGCATTATAAAAATAAAGTTTTTAAAATACATTGGTTTCAAAAAAAAGTTTGTGAAATATTAAAACAATATATATACAAATATACCAATGTTTAAAAAAACTAATCAATATTTAAATATTACAATTAACTATATATATAAAAAAAATTATATCCGCACATATGTGCGGGCAACCACCTAGTAAATCATTATACATCAAGTGACTACTCACACTGATGAAGAACAAATCAGGCATAAATACAATGAACATATATAAGAGACGTGAGATTGATAAATCTTCTCTAAATTGATGGAACTATTGAAATCTTCTCGAACAAATCAATTAGAACTAAGTTTAAGCAGAACTTCGCGGTATTAAAAAAAAAAACTAAGCTTAGGGTAAAAAACTTCTTTAAAAAAATTTCGATTGGGCAGATGTGGTTTTGAAACGGGTCCGATCATAACAAAATGATTTTATGAACTATAGTGGTGTGGTGGTCAATCGATCGTGGTGAGACTTGTAACATGGCGAGGATCAACGGTCCATATGCAGAAGGATTTCAAGTATTCTGCCTCACCTTAACGATCGGCCGATCGTTGGTTCGGCCCTTGATTCTTGATTTTATTTTTTTTACGTTTTCTTAGTTATATTATTTAACTTTTTTATATTATGTAACTAATACTACCAATATGGACTCGAAAGTCGAAATTCTCTGAGCTTAATGTTCGTTGCCCGTTCAGGCATGTTTTAAAATGGTGCGAGACTAACTTTGAGGATGCAGATGAAATATTTTCACTTTTCGTCAACAACCCTAGGCTCCTCGTCAAGCTTCTTTTTTTTTTTTTTTTTTTTTTTAAAAGCACAGTTCCTCGTCAAGTTAGTATATTAGTATAAGAATACAAATCAAGAAATAAAAGTTATAATACGTTTATAAAAAGAATACAAAGTAATAAATAAAAGTAATTTTATATTTATTTATTAAATTGTAAAGAAGTTGAGCAGTGAAAGGTAATATCAACATTTCTGTTGCAATGTGTACAGTGAAAATGACAATAAAAATCAGACGTGTACATGCATGCATGTTTATTCCATGAACGCTTACGCATGGAACCAAGGAAATTACGATTACCCCCAAAATTACAAGCTGTCACTTTATTTTTTAATAAATGGTGTAGTAAAAACGGCTTATAAAAATCTAAATGGTGGGGCTCACCTGTAATTAACGGTTAATAAACTTTCAGTTACACTTGGGGAGGCATGCAAAATAAAAAATTCCGTTTGGGATTAGTTTACACACTTTACACTAATGATTTTTAAAAGCAAAGAGTCTTTTCAACCTACTGACCAAAAAGAAAGAGACTTTTAAAACAAAAAAAGAGACTGTGAAGTGTGAACAAAAAAAGTGACAGAATTCACATATTTCTAAATATTAATAAACTCAGATTTTTATCTCCTATCTTGATAAATTTAAATCTTAGGTCCTCCAGAATTTGTTTTTTTTTTTAAAAAAAATATGTTTATATTGTGTATCTTGGGCAGTGGGCACTATCGCCAAGTATGAGCATTTATATTGTTATATATATTGACAATCTTATTATTTTTCTATATAAATAAGAGCTCAAACAAAATCAACTCTCTTTTTTCTTAAATAATCAAAATAGTATATGAAAAAATTAATTTTAAAACGAACTAAATATATATACTGACCTTTTAGTATAATTTTTTTTTGTTTTTTTGTTTTGTCAACAAATTATGAGAATAGTTATAATAATCAATAACCATTATTCAATATAATCTATCTGTTTCACTAGTATAATCTCAATACTACATAATATCATGATAAATAGTTTTACAGTAAAGTCTTTATAAATTAATAATGTTAGGGTTATGAATTTTTTTTTTAAAATTTATAAATATATTATTGAGTTGATAAACTAATTTTAAAACCGATAAAAACTATTAATTTATTGAGTATTCATTAATTAAAATTCTACTATACTCATATCATATCAAGAAAATATTTTCTGTAAATTTGCCTCGATTAATTTGCACATTTTGTTAATTGAACTAAAACATTTGGATATATAAGCATTATTAATCTTTGCTCATCCACTCGAATAAATTTAAGTGAGCTGCACATAATTTTCTGTAATTTTAACAAGATAAGTAACTATTTTATCTCTGATTTTTTAACTTATAGTTAAAAATTTTGGTCAAATCTATTTTAAATATAATTTGGAAATCCATTATAAATATAATTTGGTAATAAAATTGTTGACTGGTGTACAATATTTAAAGATATTTTGAATAATATTCTTGTTATTGCATTTCTAAAATCAAATTTACCTATTTATCTTCTATTGATATTTAGAAAAATATTTTATAAATTAGGTGACCGATCTAGTCAATAATAGTATATTGGATTTTTTTTACTTTTTATTTCTTATTCGGATCATTTTATCTCTTTTAAGTGATCGTCATCCATCTAGTCAATAATATACTACATTCCTTTTCTTCTGTTTCTAATTTCGTTAACTTTAGTTTTTATAAATATTATAACTAACAAAATCAATTGATATCACGCATCTTTAAGAGATAAAAGTTAACCGATGTTAAAATTAAAAATTTATATAAAAATTAGTAGTCATAAAAGTAATTTAGAAAAATTAACTATACAAAGATTCATGTATATTATAATTGTAAAAATTATGTGGTAATTGTTTATATATTTTTTTCTTTGTATATATATATATATAGGATTTGATAGTATATATTAGTTTAAAATTAAGATCTTGAAAATTTAAATAATTTTACATGTTTTTAACAAAATATGCATACTCCTAGGCTCCTACCATATAAGATTTTATAGAAATTTTTATTTCTCAAAATGAAAAGTTAAAACTAGAAAAATGGACAAATATATTAAAATGTAATTATATTTAATTATATTTCTCTTTTAATGGCAAAAAAACTTAATTTAGTCATCTGCTTATTCAATTAATATTATGTAATACAACATAACCGTAAATGAACACCAATTATACTGAGCCACGTGGACAAAAAGATAAAATTTGAAGAATCATTTCTTTTTCTCTCTTTTTTCTTCTGTTTTCTTCGAGCATGTAGGGCAAATTAAGTCTCTCTCTCTCTCTCGCACTATATATATCACCATTAAATACATTAGCACACTCAGTAATCCTCACTGCAATTAACTCTCCTTCATTCTCTTATTCTCTCTGCAACACCTTCACTGACTCTCCTCCTTTGTAAACCATCAGCGCTTTCCCGACCAAACCCATTGACTATCGATAGAATTAAGGGTGTCTCCTATTTTCCATCGACAATGTATATCTGTAATATTCATTAATTTCTCATTAATCACAAATATATCTTGGATTTTATTCTTTTTTTCATTTGTTAAATTTATTAGACCACTCCATTTTTATGGAAAAATTACCGAATTATCAATAACGTCTTTGTTTGTCTATAATCTTCATATACATAAGTCATATGATGAAATGATTCTTCTTTATGTTGCTATTGACGCCGTATTTTGTTCACAGATTTACATTTCTTTTTCTTTTCATCTCGATTATAGAAAAAGGGTGAGACTGAGATGGAGGGAGAGACGAAGATAACGAAGGAACAATAAAACAGATCCCGCTAGATTGCTTTACAAAAACAAAAACAAAAACAAAACTAAACAGGTATCGCTGTGTTCTCTTTGTTATCTTTTTTTTTTCTTTTCATTTTGTGCTTTGTATTTATATATGGGAACCCATGTTTATATACGTCATTATGTATGTGTGTATCACACAATTTTATATAGATCTTTGATTATTTGCTGTTGGTGGTCCGTGCATATACATGTTGATTATGGTAACCTGGATTATAAATTGTGAACTTAGATATATATTGATAGATCTTTGATTATTTGCTGTTGATGGTCCGTGCATATACATGTTGATTATGGTAACGTGGATTATGAATTGTGAACTTAGATATATATTGATAGATCTTTGATTATTTTCTGTTGGTGATCCGTGCATATACATGTTGATTATGGTAACATGGATTATGAATTGTGACTCTAGATATATATATCGATCAATCAAAATAATTTTTTTTGATGTTTAAAATAATCATCAAAAACTCACGCGCTAATCTATTATATTTTTAACGGTCAAAAATAAAATTCAAATTTACGCACTAATCTGATTAATATAGCTTAACGTAATTGATTAATCTGATTATTTGATTTTATACTACTATTTAAAAATATTTAAGTAATTTTAATAAATACATGATGTATATATACGTTTAGCATATCTTTTTTTAGTTATAAAAGTAAAAATAGATTAGTAAATTGTGTACATCAATTATAAAGCGTACATAACACCATTTCATTAATTTAGCTAATTAGACAATCAATTTTGAGAACACTAATTTTATTTTTAATAATCTTTAATCTGCATTAGGTCATTTTATTTTCTATGAGCAAATAAATCTATTGATATTTTTTTTCGTATTTTCTTCCTTTTCACGTGGTTTTTATTTTATTTATATTTAAGTAGATTGAGAAACTTTTAGAAGAAAATCACTTTCAAAATATTTCATTTTCATTTTCATGATGTTGGGTAAGCCTTTTTTTCTTTAAATCTTAATTTGTTTTTTCCAATATAATTTTGGGTTAATTTGATTCTGAGTCTATGAAATTCAGTTTGTGTTGACTGTGGTGTTAGGCGTTTTTTTTGTCTTTAATTTCAACTGGTGGGTCCTATGATTATTGATTACAAGAATCCCTCAACTTGTTTTTGTATATTATATTGTCTGTTTCTCTTTTATTTTTAAGATCTTCAACAAGAAAGATTATAAAAAAAGAAGAGAAAAGTGGTTGACTTGGAAAAGCAAACTTTTTCTTGTAGTGAGATATAGTGTGTGTGTGTATAGAGTGCTAACTTTTTGTTGTAATGATAGTGTGTGTGTCTGTGTGTACGTGTGTATGTAAGAGTGTTTGTTGTCTAGATATTAAGGAAAACAGGGGAAATCATCTTCGCAAACCCTAGTTTTTAGATATTATGAGTAAAAAGTATCACTTGTTTATTTGAATTCAGTTTCTAGAGTAACTCACTTTAGTCTTTCAACTCTTAAGATCTTCCAGAAAATCCAAAGAGAAAAATAGCAAAAATGTTCCAGTCAAACATGGTGCCAGTGGATACGAACAACAATGGAGATGGTAACAACGAGAACAACAACGACAACGACAACAACGACAACAACAACATGAATGTTGGTCGTGCTTTGGGGGGCGAGGACGTCAACAATGCCAACAATACAAGTGAAAATCAAGGAGATGGAAGCGGACGAGGTCCTCGTCCTAACAAGAGGAAACGATATCATCGTCACACCCAACATCAAATCCAGGAGATGGAAGCGTACGTAATTCCTTACTTTATTTTATTTTTGTTTGTTTGTATATAATTAAAGCCAACTAAATATAGATCAACACAACACATATAGAATACTTTCACATCTTTAACTGTTTTGTTTGTTTGTTGAATAGCTTCTTCAAAGAGTGTCCTCATCCAGATGACAAGCAAAGGAAAGATCTTGGCCGCCAATTGGGATTGGACCATCTTCAGATCAAATTCTGGTTCCAGAACAAACGCACCCAAAATAAGGTATTAATTATACAAATTTATCATTATCTCACCACATTAAATGTTTATATGAATATATTAGTTGGTTTTGATTCATGGTATATGTAGATTGATGATTACACACACATATATATATTGTAAAACATTAGTGTGATATGGAATAAATCAGGCTAAAAATAGTTTAGGGTTATTGCAATTTGCAAGAGATTTAATAAAATCAATATACGTACACACAACGCTTTTTTTAAACGTGTGAATATACACATGGGAGGGAAACACACGTACGACGTGTAAGTGTTGTATGAACGCAGTTAATATGCATTACTTCTTTTAGTACATTCTTTAGTCACTTCACATGGAAATCAAAAACATTCGTAATCTTTGTTGTTCATCCACTCCATATATAACCACTAACAAGTTGATTTTCATTTCATTTACATATAACACTTTTAGAAATTACCTCTTTTTTTTGTTTTGTTTTGTTATTGCAGAATCATCAAGAACGCCATGAGAACACACATCTTCGGGGGGAGAACAGTACGCTTAGAGCCGACAACCACCGAATGCGAGAAGCTGTTGCTAGTGCCTTGTGTCCTAAATGTGGAGGTCACACCGCAGTTGGCGAAATGTCTTTCGAGGAACATCATCTCCGCCTTGAAAATGATATATTAATCGACGAGGTACGTACTATTTTATGATGTGTACTAAAGTATGAATATACGTGAAACCACGCGCCCTTTTAACGTTAAAATATTAGACATACACACACACATCATTTCATTGGTTTCATAACCATTTCGTGAACTGCTTATACATATGTTGCGGATTTGAAAGTAGCGGCAATAATATAAATCACTAGGCTACATGTTATGTTCTGGTCATAAAATTTAATTTAGCAACATTTTTTTATTTTATCTCTTTTGGGGTTGTAGATCCGTCAGATGTCTGCGGTGGCGGCCAAGTATACAGGCAAGAAGGTGATGAGCTATCCTCAGATTCCAGCTCAGCCTTTCGATCAAGGAACGGGAGGACATGTGTATGCAAGTATGGTAAACTTCCCGATGAAAGTCACTGGAGTGACAGATGCTGATAAACCGAAGATCATAGAGTTAGCTGTTGGAGCCATGGAGGAGCTAATGGCAATGGCTCAAATTGGTGAACCACTGTGGAAGGGAGGAGTTAATGGCACGACCTTAGCTATGAACTTGGATGAATACTCAAGAATCTTTCGCAACGGGCTCGGACCTAGACCTAACGGGTTTAGAACCGAGGCATCGAGGGAAACAGCTGTCGTGTTCATGAGTCCTATGAACGTTGTTGAGAGGCTCATGGATGTGGTAAGACTAATTTAATCAATCATATTAATTATGATCCTAACTATACATTAGTGTCTACAATGTGTGTCATTAATTATTAACGGGGTATTCGCAGAGTCTATGGTCGAGCATGTTTGCTGGACTGATTGCTAGAGCCATGACTCATGAAGTTATACTGAATGGAATCAACGGAAACTTCGACGGAGCTTTCCATCTGGTACGTATTCCAATTTTCTTCCTATCTTATATATATATATATGTAACAATTATAAAACAAGAATGAAAATAAACAATATATATTTTAATGCAAGGAATGTAACCAATATTCTTATTGTTACTTCACGTATAGATGACTGCTGAATATCTAGTTCTTTCGCCAATAGTCTCGACCCGCGAATGCTACTTCGTCCGCTACTGTAAAAAGCAAGGAGAGGGTTTGTGGGCGGTGGTCGATATTTCCGTCGACCAACTCGTTCCAAACCTCCAGCTTAAATGTCGGAGACGACCCTCTGGATGTCTGATTCAAGAAACTCCAAATGGATGCTCCCAGGTATAAATTAACTAAATCTGTCTTTCACTTTCTTTGTTATGGTTTTGTGTATGAATCATAAGATTTTGAAGTTTAAATGGTTATCTCTTGTTTGGTTTATGGAAAAAAAGGTTACATGGGTTGAGCATGTGGAGGTAGATGACAGAGGAGGAGTCAGCCACTTTTACAAGTACTTAGTCAGTACTGGTCAAGCTTTAGGTGCTAACCGTTGGATTGCAACATTGGACCGCCAGTGCGAGCGGGTAGCCAGCTCCATGGTTTCAAGCATTCCATCCATTGAACCGGATGATTTATTAAGTACTTACTGTAACTCCTTATGATGTTATATAAAACACACACACAAAAATTATTGTTTCTAAGAGATAAACCCTCTAACCATTTTGTGAGTTTTATGGAATGGTGCAGTCATGACGAACCAATCAAAGCGGAGCATGCTGAAAATAGCTGAGCGGATGTGGAGAAGCTTCTTTTCTGGTTTGGCCGGTTCGAGTGCAGATATGTGGACTTGTTTGTCTGGTTATGTAGGAGAGAGCATGAGAGTGATGACTCGGAACAGCGTGAATGATCCAGGAAGGCCTCCAGGTGTCATTCTCTGTGCAGCCACTTCGTTCTGGGTCCCTGCTCCTGCTAACGTTATCTTTGACTTCCTCAGAGAAGAGAACAATCGAATCCATGTAAGTGTACTTTCTTTTACGACAATAACTCCTCTTTGTTCTGCTTTCTCAAACCGGATATATTAGTAACATGTTTTTGATAATGTTTATCTGCAGTGGGATGTTCTCTCCATTGGAGGGCATGTGCAGAAGCTTACAGAGATTACAAATGGGAGAGACAGTAGGAACTGTGTATCTTTACTCCAGGTAAAATAACTGAGTGATGAATATATATATATAAATGCATTCTTTTGATTATGTGACTGATGTTATTCGTATTGGTTACAGGCGCCAAGCACTGGGCAGAGTAAGATGACGATGATTCAAGAGAGCTCCGTTGATCCAACAACTTCGTTTCTGATCTATGCACCTGTTGATGTAAAAGCAATAGAGATTGTTCTTAATGGAGGTGATCCTGATTACGTGGCTCTACTTCCTTCGGGTTTTGGGATTATTCCAAATTCTCTGCCTGGCCCTGCAAAAGAAGATGGGTCACTCCTCAACATTGCCTTTCAGATTCTGGTTGAAGCAAGCCCTTCTGCTACTCTGACTGTTAGCTCTGTTGCAACCATTGAGAACCTGGTTTTATCAACCATGCAGAAGATCAAAACTTACTTCAACTACCAGAACACTCTAGCCAGCTCCATGCGGTAATTTATTGAACCCATTTCATAGACACACTTTTAAACCATTTCGGTTCTTGCAAATGCATTTATAATGGTAATGTTTTTTTTTTGTTTTACAGTGATGTAAGCTAAAGGGTATGATGCAGAGGAATGGATCAAGGAAAAAAGAGAGAAAGAGAGAGACTTTTTTTTATTTTTAATTTTAGCTTCTTCAAAAGGAGTCAAGAACAAACCTCAGAAGAAACCATATTGTATGGTTTTTTATGAGGTTCTGGGATTGGCTTCTTTGTGAACTTTGTTATTTCAGTTTTAAGTATTTTGCTTCCGAAACCTTTGTTATTTCAGTTTGACTGTTTTTGTTTCCGTTTGATTGTTGAAAAACCTCATTTAAGATATTATTAAGTACTCTTTTCTCTCTATTTGTGTTTTCAAATTTGTTTCTGGTGGCTTTTTAAAAATCTTTTGTGGTCTTGGATATTTTTCTTTTGCTGTCTTGTCTCTGAAGCTTGGTTTATCAAAAGCTCACACCTTTTCTTCTAATGGCTCTGTTTTCCTTCTAAAGGTTTTGTCTGTTGGCTAATCTGGTTTTAGGTTGTGTGATTTGCCATTGTTTGGTGAAGTGTGAGTTGTTAAATTTAAAACTTCATTTCATTTCAAACAACAATAATGTTGCAAAAAAACAGAAACAGAGTACTTTTAACAAGAATCCAGCAGAAATTCATAGAGACAAAAGGAGAAGAAGAATCTTCAACCTGATGATCAAGAACGCTTCCTCCTGGACAAAATAACTGGTCTCTTGCCAACAGATGAACCACTTTTGTTGGATTGAGAAAGAAGACCGCGAAGAAGAGCAAGAACACCAAAACCCATGAAAGGCAGATACACCATCAACAATGTCTCTGTTGCCCTCCCTGAACCTATCATCTCTCCCAATATCGCAGACTAAAGAGAGAGAGACAGAGAGAAAAAAGAAAAGAAAAGAAATACACAATGTAGTTAAAGTCAGATTCTTTATCACCATAGGAATGAATGCAGAGAGAGAGAGAGATTCACATTGCAGAAGAGCAAGAGAAAGTTCATAAAATCTACTAATCTCTCTCTCATCATCAACCTACAATGTTGTGAAATGAAAAACAACATTTTGATCTTCTCTATACACTCAACTTTTCAGATCAATGTCAAACACATAATGATATTTCATCAGATCACTAAAATTTTTCACCCGAAATCAAAAACACATTCTTGCAATTTTGATCGGAAAAATGGAGAGCGAGATTAAGATCTACCGTACCATAGAAGTCACGAGGGAAGCTCCGTACAGCAAGGAGGTGGTACCGAACCACGACTTCCCTGTGAGAAACGCGTAGACGTTGACGATCGAGAGCGGCCAGAGAAACAGGAGCTCGTGCCACATAATTCCGACGAGGAAATGCGGCTTCTCTTCAAACAGGTAGTCGCCGAATACGACAATGTACCACCGATTCAGATCCACGAGGAACGCCGGGTAAATGCCGCCGAGAGTTATTTGGCCGTCGAAGATCGGCACGCCGACCGCGATGGCTGCGAAGAATAAGAAGAGAGCGGCATCGATCAACTTGCAAAACGATCCCATTTTTTTCTGCTTGGAATCTGCCGTTGACCGCGAAAGAAAAACGAAGAAGAAGAAGAAGAAGAAGAGCCCGGCTACTTAATTAAACCAAACCGAATAACCGGTTGCCATGATCCCGGTTCGATTCAGTGGTAAATTAAAAACATTGCCTTCTGTTTATTGGATGGATTTGCAGGTGTTTTTTTTTTCTTATAGGGAAAACTCATTAAAGAAAAAAATGTTAATTTCATTTCCTCGTTTTACAAGATGGATTTTTTTTTTTTTTTTTTTTTTTTGCATTTTGTATGGGAAAACAAAATTGCATTTTTATCTTTTTGGTTAAGGTCCCATAACAAAACCTTATTACAAATCTATTTACCTTTCTAAGTGATGTTTTTTCTTGTATCTGTAGTGATTTTAACACATTGTGTAACTTTTTATCTATTTAACCGTCTCTATGGAGTTTCAAGATCTTTTGACTGCGAATTCTCAGCTGAGCTTTGGCTAGCTTTGAGTTTCTTACTGCTCTTCTGCTTAAGCATCTCCTTGACCTCTGCTTCTCTCTTATCAACAACTCTGATCAAGTTCTTGAAACTCGCCGCCCTCAAACTTCTCCCTGATCTAGAAGAACTGGCTTCTTCGCTCGCCTTTGCTTCACCACTGTCTTCTTCTGGTTTTAACCGTTGGCATTGCCAGAAAACTTTCCAGCAGAAGAGCGTCAGTGCAAAGAACCAAACGATGCCACAGATTAGGAACAGACCCCAGAAGCTCTGTAGCGAGATTTGATAGTTCTCTGTGTCTGAAATCTGCATTGAGCATTCGTGGCTGTAGGTAAGCCATTTCTTGCGGATTTTCTCCAGTTTTCCTTCTTCAGACAGCCGCAGGATCGCTGTCGACATGTCCACACCTAAAGGAGAATCTCTCTGGAAAGCCTGAAACAATCGATAGATCTCCGGTAAGCAAGAGACCGAACAACAAAAGAAGAAAAAACAAAACCGGTTTTTTTTTACATACAAATCCCCAGCCTGTCCGGGTGAATTCCTGTCCAACTGTACGGAACTTGCAGTTGCTGTTTGACAATAAAGCTTTGATGTAAGGAAGCTCGTCGACAATGGCTGCAACGCCACCGCCTCTGGGACCACGTTGAAGAGCAGAGAGATATTCTGCTTCGTCTTTCAGCGGAACGATTCTTGATGGAGCTATGTTAAGTTCATTGACCAGATACTTCCACGCGAAGGTACCGTCTTGGACTCCAATGGGTTCGTTGCTTGCTATTAGACTATCCATTCCTTCTATCCGAGATGTTAGCTGTTGAACGGTGAGGATCGAAGTGAGACTGGCCGTGTAGCTTGAGTTGATGATCAGAACCACGAATAACCATATGAGTAGCACAAACCTCCCCAACGAGCTCACCGTGTTCTCTCCTGAAAGATCAAGAAAGGGAAATGAATAAGAGCTTGGAAATAACATTAAAAAATATTGATGTTTTTGTAGGCGAGTACATACTGTGAGAGAAGAACATCGTTGAGAAGCTAAACCTGAAACGTTAAAGACAAGGTGCAAAGCAAAGTTTTTAGAGTCTCACTTTGAAACTTATAATTGTTGTGTGTTTTTTTTTCTTCATCTTGGTCACATCTTTTGTCAGGAACTAACCAGAAAATGGTGATGATTTGACGCCTAGGAGGTCCGCGAAATTCTTCATTAAAGCGGTGTTCAAGAATCCAAATGATGGCTCCCACAAAGAGAAACAAGGCTCCAGTCACAGCCCACATCTCTACAGTGAATGGCTTCAAGAACGACCAAGGACTAGACTTGGCCCCCTTCACTGGAGCTACCACCACGAGCCCTGATTCCATAAATGGCTGCGTGAAATCTACAAACTTGGTTCTGTTTGTAACGATTGTAACATCCCCAACAGCTACATCGAAATTCTAGAGGCATAAAACAGAGAATGAAAAATTAGACAGATTAGTATAGTATGAGTGTCCGTGTACTTGACTGGGTTAATGAAATAACAAGTAACTACTTAAGGACTCACATTTGCAGCAACTTCGCTTATGAGATTGTCATATGAAGGATTCCTCTTCCCGTCTCCATATAGTATATAAGTACGTGGGACGGGATACGGAAGCAATTGAACCGCAGCTTCAAAGATGTCGATGCAATAGCCTTTAACACCAAGCGGGTTGTTGTCTTTAGAGGCGTAGTTTTTGTAACTCACACGGTTAGGCACACCGATTTTGAGCGGCTCTCCATTGTCAGCGAAAACCCAACCCCGAGGTGCCTTTGTTGCTTCCCCTGGCCATATGATCTCATTAAGACGTTGATGTTCTGCAGATGTGTTTGGAGGCTTAGAGTATAATCTCTCCGGTGGCTCGACTGAGAAACCTGTGTGATTTGTCCAGTACCCGACTCTATGTAGACCTCTGCTCTGTATGTTTACAATGTCGTATGCTGGATTTTTCCGGTTCTTCTCCGAATCAAACTCGATTTGTCCGGTCAGACCTGTATAATTCATCTCATGAATGAGCTGCAGGAATCTCTCACCTTCATTGAAGACGTTAAGTGCTGATAACTTGATGTTGCTACCGTTGGTTTTCCTCAGATTCGGATCACTGGAGAAAGTCACTGTATTTCCTTCGCCGAAGAAAACATCGAGAGCACGAGCCACCAACCAAACAGAATCATAAGCATACATTGCATAAGAATTGAAGCCATCAACACCTCCTGAACTCTCCTTGGATCTAAGGTTTTCCCATTTTGCTTTAAACTCTCTCTTCTTGTTACTCTCAGGTGTGTAATGGCGAAAAGCAACCACTCCTTGCAAGAGATTCAAAGTTTTGGGATCCAACGGTTCCATGGAATCCAAAGCTGTACGAAGCCAATCAGAGGCGATCCAGACGTAGCCACTTCCCATCATTCCAAGAGACTTGGCGACAGAGAATACGTTTAAACCCGAATCAGGATTCACATGAACAACAAAGATGCGAGATTCCATCATATTAACAGAAACCAATAAGTCACTGATTGAGCTATTATCTGCACCAGGTGTAAATGCAGCCTTGTAAGAGATCTTGGCACGTTTCTTGGCTAAAGCATCGCCTAGTACAGATATCCCGTTCCTACCATACTCATCGTCTACAAAGATGGCAACAACTTCTCTCCATCGGCAGTAGGATACAAAATCAGCGATCGCATTCATCTGGAAGTAGTCGTTCTGTGTGGTACGAAGGAAATAAGGGTACTGAAGCGAAGAAAGAGTCGGGTCTGTTGCTGCAAATGACAAGAGAGGTACATGGAGCTCATTAGCTACATGGGAGATTATGTGACCGATTCCTGAAGATTGTGGACCAATGGCTGCAACCACCTTGTTCTCCATTACCTGCAAAGCTACACCATAAGAAAACATATAACCAACCTTCTTCCTCATTTCCAAATACAGCAAAACCACTAGAAGAGAAAGAAAAAAAAAAGCAATCCATGTGCAAACCAAAGATTATAACAAGAAGTTTTAAGGAGAAGACAAGCTCTACAATTGGAAGAACAAACTGTATAGCTACAGATTCACCAATCCACTATTACACTCTCACAGCTTCATTGGGACATATTCACAAGCAGCTTTCAGGCATATTTAACAAGCTGTGTTCCATTTGGCTAACAGTTTATGAAAAGTACCTCCCATGGAACCAACAAATCCACTGCAATTTGCGTCATGAAAGACAACATTGAGCTTGGTTCCCCTGAGAATAACCGGATCAGCATTAACGTCGTCAATGGCCGTCATAAACCCAGGTTTGGCTGCTCTTCCGATGAAAGAATCATAAGTAAACAGAGCTCCAACGTTGACAGAGCTTGGCCGTGAAGAAGAAGAAGAGTTTCTTGAGAAACTTTCTCTTCCAGCACCTTCCGTTGGTAAAACCCAAAACCCAGAAACACATAGGAGCATCACTCCCATGGAAACACCACTAATCATCACGAAAAATCCCATCTTTCGTCGGATTTTCGAACCGAAAGGTCTGATTTTTAAGGGCTCATGATATACCCATCTGATGATTCGGGGTTAAAAAGCAAGTAACATTAACGACCATTAACATCAACATCAAGAGAAAAAGATGGGTCAAACAAAAAGACAAAAGGGTCGTAAAATTTAACTCAACATTGGATCGTACCAAGAATCAAAGACTTGTTTTTTACATATATATGTATGTGTGTGTGTATATAATTGTCTAAGATTCTGTAGAGATTAGTGCCCAAATGAGAACAAAACTGAAACCATCTCAGACATGGTTCAGAGAAAAGGAAAAAAAACATGGAGCTATTAATTAATTAATTCAAATCAATGAGTAGAAACTCCATGGATGATGGCGATAAACTAATACCCTAAATTAATTAATAAAATAGCAAATAGTTGGTCGGACAAAACAAATTAGCATTGCCAGAAAGAAAACTATAATAAGATAAATAAAGCTCCAAGTTGGATAAAAGAAAAAGTTCATGAGTTCATACTTCATAGAACGTGGCAATGATTAAAAATAATAATGGGTAAAGATCCAAGCTGTTTTTAATTCTTAAGAGCCTATAAACAATTAAACATGTTACATGTATACAAGTTTGTAATGGATTGACTTATGAAATTTTGTGTATTATTTTTGTACCCCAAATTCAAGAAGAATCTCAAAGATCTATATATAGCTGTAATCATGGTAATAATCATTGGCTCCTACAAGCTTTTTATGTTGCTAAGTTACAATCAAATCTAATGAACAAAGATTCGAATATTGACTTACATGTTAGCTTATATCTAGTTACATTACAATTTTGTTTCTATAGAGTGGAATCTACTAGTTAATTTTGTCGTACCTCAGAATCAGACTGGACTTCCACAACATGAGATGGGTTGTTAGAATCATCACCACTCTGTCTGAACATTCTCTTGATGGCTTCTTCTTTCTTATCCACAAACTCCACGAAATCAAACACCAATTCCCTTAAACGCACTGTAGGAGAAGACGACCAAGAAGGTCGTGGCGTCGAGCTTGTCCTCTCCATCCGTCTGTACCGCACGAACTGGCGTATCATCCTGAGAACAAACACCAAAAACGCAGAGACCGTGATTGCGATGCACACAAGGTACAACCCTTTGAAGCTCTTGAGATGAAGCTGGTTTGGCTCTGAGTTCCAATCTGATTTCTCTGCGCAAGTCGTCTTGCATAACCATTTCTTCCTAATCTCTTGCAATTTTCTCGTCTCGGATAGTTTCAAGATCGCTGTTGACATGTCTATAGCCAGTGGAGAATCTCTCTTAAACGCCTGTTAGACAAAACAAAAACAAAACTCAAATCTTTTGTGATCACTTTCGCTCTTCTGATTATGAGAAACGTAAGAAATGTACTTACAAATCCCCAACCACGGTGCATAAAGGGCTCTCCGACGATTTTGAAACCCGTCCGTTCCGCTAGGAACAGTTCAATGTAAGGGAGCTCGTCAACAATGGCAGCTACGCCTCTGAGAGCGGTTGGTCCTAGCTTTAGTGCCCTTTCATACTCCTCAGTCGAGTCAAGTGGAACCAACCTAGACCGAGCTATGCCAAGACTGTAGGTTAAGTACTCTAAAGTGAAGGTCCCAGACTGGTAACCGATTGGCACCCCACTTGCCCGCAAGCTGTCGATGCCGGTAATGGCCGAGGGAAGTTGTTGAACTGTGAGGATTGATGTGAGGTTTGCTGTGTAGCTCGCGGTTAGAACCATCAATAGGAAGAGCCATACAATCATCACTAGTCTCGCTAGATTGCTTATTGTATCTTCCTCTGTTGACAGAGCAGGACAAAACAGCAAGACCGCAGATAGTGAGTAGACAGAAAACATAAATCTTAGAGTCGAATATATATCAGACAGATTCGGAAATGTAACTTTATAAAACATGGATGAGAACGAGGCTACTCACGATTTCTCTTGAAAAGAGTTGAGAAGCTGAACCTGAAAGAACAAATCAGAATAGAAATGTAAGAGAAAAAAATCCAAGAATGAAGTATCAAGTTCTGTAAATTTTACGAGCTGAAACTCACAAGATCATTGTGATGAGTTGTCTTCGGGGTGGCCCTCTGAAATCTTTATTGATGCGATGTTCGAGGATCCAGATGACTACGGCAATAACCAGAAATGAAGCTAGAACAACACACCATAACCGGATGGTGAAAGGTCTCAGGAAGATCCAAGTCGCATTGTCGTCGTTAGTCGGAATCACCACCACAAGGCCTGTGGAAGCATAAGGCTGCGAGAAATCTACTAATTTGGACCGGCTTGGCACTATTGCAATATCCCCAACGGCTGCATCATATATCTGAAAACCATGAAATAAAAGAAAAACAAAGAAATGCTCAACCATAATCTCAGTAAAAAAGTTACTCTGAGAATGTTCAGTTTTCTCTCAGGCTTTTCGAATCAGCTTTGTACAATTACTTATGGATACTTACGCCATCCGTCACCATTTGAATAAGCTGATTGTAATTGGGGCTTGAATCGCCATTCCCGAATGACTCAAATATGTAAGGAACACTGTAAGGGACGAGCTTCAATGCTTCAATGAAGACGTCGATGCATAATCCTTGGATCCGATGGCTACTGTTCTTTTCTTCGGCCACAAACTCGACAAAGCTCACTCTGTTTGGGACACCAATCTTCAATGGATTTGCGGAATCTGCAATGACCCAACCACGTGGCTTTTCACGGCCACCACCAGGCCAGGTTATGTGACCAAGTTTTTCTTCAGAAACAAAGCCAGTCTTCTTATGTGCTTGTCGGGAATCTGGGGATACAACTGAAAAGCTTCCATTTTTCCAGAAACCCACCGTATGAACACCGGTTTTGTCTACATTGATGACTTCATAGTCACAGCCAATGACATTTCGACCAAAACCAAACTGAACTTGACCAGCTATACCAGTGAAGTTCACCTGCAGAAGTTTCTTAAGTAGTAGCTCCCCGCTGTTGAAAATTTTGACTCTGTCCAGGTGCAGTTTAGTTCCTTCTGCCTGAATTAACTTCTCGGAGTAAGAGAATGTTATGTTGATTCCTTCATTCAGCATTTTCTCGATGCCGTATGCAATCATCCACACGGTATCATAGGCATGGAACGTGTATGCATTCATTGATCTGTTGCTCTTCAGTTTATGTGTGAATTTCTGCATCTTTACGGATTTTGGGATGTGTTGACGAAGCCCCACTACTCCTTCAAGACGCTTAAAAGTACCTTTGTCCCTCAAAGAAGAATCTAAGGTAACCGAGAGCCAGTCTGTGGCGAGCCATACGTATTCATTGGTCATCATCTGCAGCTTTTGCGCTATACCAAATATTCTGAGCAATGGGTCAGGGCCAAAATGAAGAATATAGACTCGAGGACCGAGGGACTTGGATTTTTCCAAAGCATCAGCAACGGACTTTTCATCAGAATGCACTGAGAGTGGCACTTTATAGGAAATCCTGGATCTTTTCTTGTACAGTTCATCATCTAGAGCAGAAACTCCATTTCTTCCGAGCTCATCATCTGAGTAAACTGCTATCACCTCTTTCCATCCATGAAAATTGATAAGATCCACAAGGGCAGACATTTGGTGGGCATCATCAGGTGTGGTCCGAAGAAAGAAAGGAAACTGTAGGGCAGAGAGAGTTGGATCAGTTGCTGCAAATGAGACGAGAGGAAACTGGAGCCCTTTCGCAATATCTGACAATGTATGAGCGATGGAGGATGAAATTGGACCGATCATTGCCACCACTTCTTTCTCAAGCACGTCAAAAGCTGCAAAACACCAGACAAAGCCAATAAGACGGTCTATCCCAAAATGGAAAGTTTCTAATGGGGCCATGGATGAGGGACACGAGTGTTTGAACACAAAAGAGTTAGAAAAAAAGCCACGGTACCTCCGAAGGATCCATGAAAGACATTGCAGGAAGAGTCCTCCATGAGCAGCCGTAGCTCCGTATCTTTGAGAATGCTAGTATCAGCGTTCACATCGAAGACAGCTGCCTCGAGAGCTACTTTTGCAGCTCTTCCGATAACCGAATCAAAAGAGAAAACAGCGCCGAGGTTCACCACTCTAGGCCTTTGGCAACCCATCGGAACCACAAGAATGGCCAGAATCAGAGCCGTTATAGCCACAGATGGGTCAACGCCCAGTCCCATGGAGACAATGCTATCAAGCTAAGGAACAGTTCAGATAGTTTGTGTTGAAACAATAACCATCTCTTTTTAGTCTAGTGGCTCTTCGGCATTGAGGATGAGAAGAATAGAGACTAATGCACTTTCCTAGGCAAGATCCAGAGAAAATAAATCAAGGTAAAGTTTTCAACTTTGAACTTTAGAATCTTTGTGGTTACTGAGTAGGAGAAAATCGAATCAAGATCTAAGCAAGCAAACGCCGAATCAAGTTTGAGAAATTAGCTAAAATAGGCAACAATGTGAATACGAAGACTTTTATTACACAAACTGAACGGGACATGGGGAAAAACTGGATGAAGATTTTTTTACAAAGATGATCGAAGATAAATGAGCAAGCGAAACAGAGACGATTAGAGAGTAATAACTAAAACCGAATCAAAAAACAAGTTTGCCACACAAGAATCAGTTCTATAGTGACAAGTTCTCTTCTTTCTTTCAGCAACCTTTAGTTTCTCTGCGGAATATACGCAAACAAGTTGCAGGCATAAGCTAATTAGCTAAAAAGGAAAATTTTACGACAAAGCAACGAATTATTAACAGGAAGAAAACCAAAAAAGCCATGATTTGACAGGAGTCAGATTCCTAAAGGGGAAGAAAAAAACCTAAAACAAGAGACCAAATCACGCCCAGAAAGTCAGCATCTTCTTCATTTTTCATCTCGAAATCAAATCGAATAGAAATAGAAACACGCACATTAGAGAAGAGACGAAAAACATGTGACTGAAGAGCTTCTTTTGGTTTGAGCTCTCAAGTCCTATCCGTAGAGTATAGTCCACGCAGTCGTTTGTAAGATGTGGGGCCCATTATTCTAGGGCCTACATCTAACGGCCCATATTCTGAAAAGTTCAATAGAAAAATTAATTTACATGTGTTAATCATTTTATTTCTTTTTCTCAAAAGTTTATTTCTTCTTCCTAAGCTATTTTGTCAATAACTCAACTGAAGTGTTGATCAATTCCTCATATTTAATTTAATTTTTTCTTTTGTTGCTAATTTTGTTTGTTTTTCCTAATTAGGAAGTTAGGATCTTGGAAAAAAAATATATGGCTGTTCTTCATAAAATAGCTAGATTAAAAATTAAATTAAGATTTTGAGAAAAAAAACAATAAAGTAAAATATTGTAAAACTGAATGAGATTTCACCACTATTCAATAGTATTTAAATTACATGTATATTTTTTAGCTGTCATCTTATTCAAAGAAATTGTTTACAATTTATAGAATTTTATGTGGTTTCACTTGGACGTATGGTGGTTTTGTATTTATATATGTATTTATATTTTTCTGTGTATAAAAAGGTATATTCTGAATAATATATTTCAAAGTGTTAATTAATTTTACCCAAAATTTTGTAAATGATCCAAATTAGTAAAAATAGAGATATTAGGCAACTTGGTAAAGGTTCTCGTAAAAACCCAATTTTGTTTTTCCACCAAACACCTCTCTGCGTCTCCCTCTCTCTTCCTCTCTCTGTGCAGCTGAGACTCGAATCACTGAAAAACCCCATGAAAAGAGTTGAGCAAGAGCCAGCAATGTCGGAACCCAAGAAAACCAAGTACGATCGTCAACTCAGGTAATACTCTTTCTTCCTCCTCCAACTCTACTTCTCCTCCGTTTCATCAAAATCCCAATTCGAGATTTTTTTCTCTCCGTAAAACTCTGATGACTTGGGGGGAAAATCGTAGGATTTGGGGAGAATCAGGTCAAGCGGCTCTGGAAAACGCGAGCATCTGTTTGCTCAATTGTGGCCCGACTGGCTCCGAAGCCCTCAAAAACCTCGTCCTTGGTGGAATCGGAAGCATCACCATCGTCGACGGATCTAAAGTAGAAATTGGAGACCTTGGAAACAATTTCATGGGTATCATTCTCTCCTGCACACTCTTTACATCACAATGTGGTGTTTTTCATAGTATTTGTTTCCTGGTAGTGTTTTCTTCTGTGTATTGGGAACTTACTTTGCCCGAACTTTGGTGGATTGTTGTCTATGTCGAAAAAAAAGTGGATGAGAAGAGTGTTGGTCAGTCAAAAGCCAAGTGTGTCTGTGCCTTTCTTCAGGAGCTTAACGATGCTGTAAAAACCAACTTTGTTGAGGAGAATCCAGACGCTTTGATCACGACAAACCCGTCTTTCTTCTCTCAGTTCACTCTCGTTATTGCCACTCAGGTAACCAAAAGGTTTCTCTATCTCCTAAAGCTTTAGCTTTTTGTAAAGAAAGTGTGTACAATTAGACTGCAAAGTTTTGGTTTTTTACAGTTCATCATTATGATAAATCAGTTGGGGTCTCTTAGGTTAAGAGTAGATTCGTATTCTAAATCAAAGAGCCTCTTGAATCGGTTGATTATATTCTATTGCGTGAAAATTTTAAATATCGAGCACCTATGATCAGTCTGAGATCTTAATTTTGGAACACGCAGCATTATTGCGTACGAATTTCAGACATTATCATACTCTTTTCACTGTGCATTGCCTTGTTAGTTCCTTTTTTGTGGATTATTAAGAAGAAAGTCATTACTTTTCTCGCTACGTTTTGCTTGTAGCTAGTGGAAGATTCAATGGTGAAACTAGATAGAATCTGCCGAGAAGCAAATGTCAAGTTGGTTTGTGCCCGCTCCTATGGCCTTACTGGGTTTGTGCGTATCAGTGTAAAGGTATTAATATTTTTTACCCAAATATCTTGTAGTCGAGTGTTAGGCATTTTCATGGTTATTATGCTAAGTGGTATCTTTTCTCATCTATCAGGAGCACACAATTATCGATTCAAAGCCTGATCATTTTCTTGATGATCTCCGCTTGAATAATCCGTGGCCTGAACTCAAGAGGTACTCTGCTTCCATCTCCTCGCTCATTGTGTTGTCTTGGTTTACTTTTACCTTGTGAATTGACTAGTACGTGATATGGGTTTTTATGTTACCCACATTGTGAATTGACGAGGATGATATGAAATCTTAATTATTCATGAACGGCAGGTTTGTGGAGACCATTGATCTGAAAACACCAGATCCCGTTGCTCATAAGCACATCCCTTACGTCGTCATTCTTGTCAAGATGGCTGATGAGTGGGCTCAAACCCATAACAACAACCTTCCCTCGACTAGGGAAGAGAAAAAGGAGTTTAAGGTATCCTTATGTTACTCAGTAAAGACTTAGCAAGCTTTACATGTCTCGTGATTCCATGTTCTAATCTTATTCATTTCCTGGAAATCTTAGGATTTAGTTAAGTCCAAGATGGTATCGATGGATGAAGATAACTACAAAGAAGCCGTGGAAGCCACATTCAAAGTTTTTGCTCCTCGAGGAATCAGTGAGTATACATCTTGTTTGGCATTGGTTGAAAGTAGACATTAAAGCTATCGTTTCTAAACTATATATGTTGGAAATAATGAAACTGGTTGGACACTTGGACAATCCGAAAACGGCATCAAGAACCAATTGGAAAACTTTCAAATATCTTCATGAATCATTATTGTTTGCTGATTTTTCCCTATGCATCTTGATACATATTCATAATATAGATTTAATATGTGAAGTCAGTTTTTTAGCAACTACTAGGAAAAAAAGGTTACGAGTCCAATTTCTATTCCTCATATCGAGCTAATCCTTTTTCTTTCCTCCAGGCCAAGAGATTCAATCAATTATTAATGATAGTTGTGCTGAAGTTGGCTCTAGTTCCTCGGACTTTTGGGTGATGGTGGCAGCCCTCAAGGTTCGTAACTTGAAAGTAGTTGAGAACGTGTTATGGGGTCTTAGCATATTAGATTGTTTCTTTGATCCATCTTAGTTATTTTCTGCTTCTCATGGACTTGAATGCTCACCTTACCGGTTATATACTTAAATGCATCACCTGCAGGAGTTTATTTCAAACGAAGGTGGTGGGGAGGCACCACTAGAAGGTTCCATGCCCGATATGACATCTTCAACAGAGTCAGTTTTCCTATTCTTTTGTTTCATGGAAGAGCTGATATTCATCCTTAGCCGTTAATGATTTATAGCTGAATTTGTTTTTCATTTGCAGGCACTACATCAGTTTGCAGAAAATCTACCAAACCAAAGCTGAAGCTGATTGTCTTTCCATGGAGCAAAGAGTAAAAGACATCCTAGTTAAAGTTGGTCGAGATCCAAGTAGCATCTCAAAACCACCTATTAAGAGCTTCTGCAAGAATGCAAGAAAACTTAAGGTGGGAATGCTGGAATTTTTTGTGATCTATGATTAAAACTGATTGTGTGTTTTTTCTAGTAAAGTAAAAGCAATTGGGATTTGCACCTTGTAGGTATGCAGATATCGTATGGTAGAAGATGAGTTCAGCAATCCTTCTGTAACAGAACTGCATAAGTGTTTAGCCAGTGAGGACTACAGGTGCGAATATTTTTGTCGAAATTGATCTTTTCCATATGACCACAGACACTGTGATTACAAAAATATTGCCGGACAGTTAAAGCAGTTTATAGTACTGTTGTTGTTATAGCTCTGAAGGCTTGTACCGCTTTTCTGTTTGTTCCTCTCGCAGTAGCGCAATTGGATTATATATTCTTCTTAGAGCTGTTGATAGATTTGCTGCGACCTATAAGAAGTTTCCGGGGCAGTTTGATGGGTAAGAGAACACATTCTGGCAAAAAGTCAATTGTATTGTGAACATTTTGGCATTGTCAGGCTATTATTAACTTATCAATTGTATAGTGGAGAGATAGAAGAGGACGCATCTCGGTTAAGAACTACTGCCCTGAGTCTTCTTAGCGAAATGGGTTGTGACGGATATGTACTTCCGGAAGAACTTTGCAATGAGATGTGCAGATTTGGTGCTGCAGAGCTTCATGTAGCTGCTGCTTTCATAGGAGGAATCGCATCTCAAGAAGTAATCAAGGTTCGGTTCATTATCCCTACCCCTCAAAATGGTCACTGCAGTATCAAAATGTGTTGGATTTGTAGCTAGACGTTTACCTTATTATGTTTTCCAAATGTTTGCAGCTCATCACTAAGCAGTTTGTTCCGATGTTGGGAACTTTCATCTTCAACGGCATTGATCACAATTCTCAGTCTTTGAGATTATAGAAGATTCTTAGACACTGGTGGCTTTCGAGTTGAAAAATATCACTTATTTTGGGGAACAAGAAGAAACGATTCACTGTTTTGGAGTTTACGTTCTGCCATGCACCAGACTAACTAGAGCTCATTTCTGATGTAATGTATGGATTCTTGAGCCGCGGTCCAAAACCGAAGAGCTTGTGTGGTTTAGTAGCGTTATTTCTTACTGATTGGTTAAGCAAAATCTTTCCATCGTTTCAAAATATTTTTACTACTAAAGCAAAGGTACAGAGGTTTACAATGAAGAATACAACAAACATCTGATGGACTCGTTTCCTAGATGATGAAAATCCAAAATTGGCAAAAGAACAGAAACAGATAAAGCTACAAGGTTGTGTTACCCGGCGGATAGCCTCTTTGTGGGATTATAAACGCTGAATTCGCCAAAGTCTCTTCGGCCACTGGCAACAAAACAATCAAACCTTTGTAAAGAACAAGGTCCAAACATATTAACTTCAGTTAAGTTCAACGACTTTTCGCTTCAGACACCACCAAAGTTGTCTGTCTAAAGGTAACCAGATAAAGCATCCTAACGATTAAAACCCCGAGCGAGTCAACGGCAAAGGTGGTTTACCTGTGACTAACATTCCACCCACCAGGCAAATGGCGAGGGTGAACAGAATCAACAAACACTTGTCTCCATCTTTGACAGAAGTCCCGAACTCCATCCTCTCCATGTTCCTTTAAAAGATACTCTACAATCTGTTTCCCGTGCGGTCCATGTCCTAGCAAGGAGAGCTTCGAGTTCTGCTGGTGCAACGTATTTCCATTACATTGAGTATCATTTAGCTCTGGAGCTCTATCTCCTCCACTTAGACCATTGCCACTATCATCAGCAGCTATGCTACTTTCTTCATTCGTATCTTTCTCAGAACCTCCAAGAGCTTCCTCACCATGTTCTTCAACTGAAGATACAAAACCGTTTGCATCAGTATCTGTGGCAACACGACAATGGATCATTATGTGTTAGCCTTTATCAACTAAACAGCTTTCAGTAAAACCTTGAGAAGTGTTTATCATACGATTACCATTGTTACTGTTTTCTTGTTTATCCATATGAGTAACCTCTGTAGAATGTTTAAGCGATACTCCTTTCTTTCTTTCGAATTTTCTTCTCTCGTGAGGGCTCAACCCAATGAGTAAAGCTCTTTCCAAATCTTCTTCAGATATGTCCCGTCCACCGTAATACATCTTGACCGTCTATACTCAAAACCCAAAGCAAGCATCAACTACTTGGAATAGTTATCAGAATGTTTAGGTTCATATCAATTTCTTGAAATGATTTAGATGATGGTCAACTATTACCTGCAACAATTCCTCACGGCGACTAGATGGCATTCGGTTCCCATGTCGCAAGAGCGCCATTGCAGCTGTTCTAAGATGTAATGGAGAGACACCTGCATCCTCAGAGTCACCCGTTGATTCATACTCCACTGAAGACGATGATGCCCCTTGTGCTTCTTTAGAATCGAGTACTCTACGAACGAAGAGAGGAATCCCAAACTCTGTAGCGATCTGTTTCTTGTATCTCTCTGCAGCAGCATGCGCAACTTCATGGCAATCCACACAGAGTAGAACTATATCATGAGATCTGTGACTTTTTAAATGCTCTGGAAAATGAACTCTATAGCAAGAAGGTATTATCCGGTAACGCAGATAGTGATTCCCTTCCCCACATCCAACACATATGTTCTTCTTGGTCTGGATATAAAAATCATTCCCTTCATCTTCTGGACGTCCTTTGGGTTCGAACAAAAGCATTATCGCAGGCGGATCTTCTTCGACTAGTTTGGCAAGACCACGATTCATATACCTGTATATATAGCACAAACAAAGATATTAAATTAGAGGTGAGATTCTTGAACTGAAGTGAACAACAAAAAAAGAAACATGAGTTCATCAACTAAACCATTCAAGTTTTCTTCTATCACAGTAACATAGCAGACGTCCATCATTTGCGTAGATTCTACAATTGTGATAAACAGGAGCCTTGCAGGAAAACTTCTTGACAAAAAGATCTCTCGATGCCTTCCGAGTGAATTGCTTGAAGTTGTTCTTATGTCCATTTTGCTTGGGAGCAGAGCGGGTAGTTAGCTTTGTCTTGAAGTTCACCAAAAGCGAATAATTGAAGACAGAAACTGGACAGGTTCCATCTGTACCCAAACATTTCTCAAGAACTACTGGTAAAATAGCATCCAGCTTAGCCAACTTGTCCTGAGTCATCTGATAGACATCATCCAAATGACTACAGATAACAGCAGATGGAGACTGAACTGAAAAACTCAAGCTCGGAGAAGACTCTGTAGCCAAATCAGCTTGAGCTATCGAATCATATATCTCCTCGGTTGTAGCTGGCTGCTTAGAAGCAAGAGCAACAATAGCTTGATCCGACAACACATATCGTGTGCTTTCATCATGAATCCGTGCCTGAGAAAAAATATATATATACAAGTTGATTGGCATTACAACAAGGAAAAATGTCTCGCAGCTACAACATTTTTAACATACCATTAAGTCTCTCCATGCACAAAGTTCTCTTACAAGCTCCTGAAACTGAAAGGCGGAACATCAACACGATGCTTGGATATCTAAATTGGGTACACATAATGAGGTGAGGAGAAGGCATACCTTTGCATCCAAGGAGATGGAAGAATGATCTCCGTGACCGTTTAAATGCCGATAAATCAATGAGGAAGCAGCAGCATTCCCAGGAAAATCTTCGCTTTCTTTCGTGTACAATTGCAAACAGGTCATGTTCGACCGTCTACTAGCCTCGAGAAGAAAATGGAATTTGTCATCGGGGCTAGATGAATCTTCTGATACATTAATATTTTAGAACTTTTGTTGCAAGAACCAAACATTCTTGTTCTTCCAAATCTTTTCTTGAACTATAGTTGACACTACTACCGAGTTAATCCTACTTTTACATCATATACAAAAAAAAATGTTGCTTACCAGTATCTCGCTGTCTGAGCTCAGTAGTCAATTTATCAGCAATATAGAGTAGATAGTGTGCATCTGTTCTGGCATATTGCACCATCTCTTCCGACAGTGGGCGTTGTCTCCAATCTTCACGCTTCATTAAAGATATGGATCAAGCTTAGCATAGATAAGAACTGATTTCGAGAAAAAAAATATATATACATAAACATGTTTCTTAATGTTAAAGGACTCACCTGAAGCAATTTGTTAGTAGCCACTCCACAGACTGCCTCAAGTAAGTATGCCAGTGACCTTTGAGGCTTTGATAACACCTCACATGCCTAGTTTATTGCAATTAACAAAAACATTTTACTTTTACAAAACAGCAACAATGAACAAATTTATCTAAACTTGCAGAACTAACAAAAGACCCCAATCTTTCTGTGATCATTCACTAAAAACAGCTTCCACTCATGCCAAAGCTTAAAAAAACTAGTGCCGGATTTAGAAAGGTATACCTTGGCAGTATCAAACATATTAACAACATATATGTGGAAGTCTCTTTGAAGCCAGAGTACATCGTTGTCAGCTCCATGAAACACCTAAAGGCACAAGCAAAATTAGTGCTTTATAAGATCTCTTTTTCAAAATATTAGAAAATCAAAGCCAATAGATTCTGCTAATTTACCTTGCAAATATCAGGATTGGAGAAAACAGGACGAAGAATACTCATTGCATCATGTAATGCAATCGTGTCAACCAAAAAGTCTTCATCTTGCGTAGATATCTGCAATTGCCAGAGAAATATCAAGAATCCTAAACATTAATGCTAAAACCAAGTACGAACACGATCCTTAAACAGTTACCTGAATTAGAGCAGTGAAACCAAGAAACGAACGCAAACTATGTTGCTCTGTATCAATTGCAAAAACCTCTTCTTTTGCCAATGTCTCTGCAAGCTCCTTCAACTGCGACTCTGTCTCAACCCACACATATGAATCACTCAGTTCCAGTGAATAGTCTCCTCTCAAGAAATCAAACTCAAGCTGAGGATTCTCTAACAAGACACTGATCTCAGCTTCATACGGATGACAGTTCGAAGGTTTCTCTGCATTGGTTTAGATTCCAAACATTACAAAACATATGAATTAAAGTTATCTCTGGTGAAAAGCAAAATTCAAACTTGAGATGTCGAATCCACCTATGGAGGAAGACCCATCGTCGAGCTTCAAGTGTTTGAATCCAGAGTAAGAGTTATCCGCAAGAACGCGTTTGAAACCGAACTGAGGCTTGAGCTCGGAATGCAGATAACACGAGCTCGGAGAAGATGACTGCTTCCTCCGCTGGCGGCGCCGCCGATACTCAGCCACCACCAGAACCGTCGCCGCCACAAGAGAGGCTACAGTAATTACGATTTTGACCCTTTCTCCGACCTCCATGTGTGTATCTTCGAATCTCAAACTGTTCGTTAGTGTTTCCCTGAGCAAATCTGCGGCACATTTCTGGCTTCTGCACTCTCATTGTCAATGGAGGAGGCCCATGGAGATCTTAACACGTGTCTAAGTCATAGTCCCGTAGAGATCTTGACACGTGTCTTCGTTGTAGAAAAAATAGGCCCATTAAAATTGTACCCATAAAGTTGACTTCGTTGGCCCAAAAACCTTGAAAGTCTTTTGAATTGAGGACTAGAATATACATTCAACGACACCACTTGTTGTATTATAAAGTACTAGAAAATGTATGGTATGATTCATTGATCTAATGTTTATATTATGTGAATTCCCACAAGTCCATCTATAATTTTCAACCATACATTTTGAAATGGACAATGAAATGGACATCTCATGGAACACACCATGAGTAATTAAAAAGAGACCTATGATCCAGATGAGTCCAAAAATTAAACAAATATGTGAATATCAAATGTCTAAATTTAATAATACCATCTTTACGAAAGAAACATAAAAAGACGAGATTGGTTTATATATACTACTCTGATATAAATGGTATCCAAGTCTTGATTGTTTTCATCGCATTTGAAAATAAATGATATGCTAATTTATAATTTGGAAAATAAATAATTGTAACATAAAATATTACCTGTATTAGCCAGCCAAATCCATTGTTTAGTCTCAAAATTTATTAAAAAGTGCTCCATTTAGAAATATATATGTCAATCTACAGTATCAAGTATCAAGATGTTGACGCATATAACGAAAGATGTGTATACGACAAATTTGTGGTCGACAAGAATGCATCAATAGAGAGTTTAAGGGGTTTGGGGCCATTGACAGTGAGGTGAGTGTGTTTACTCTTTAGGGTTATGGGCCTCACTTGTTATTATTTATTACAATGGATTCCATACCGGTTCGGTTTAATATTGATTTGAGATAAAGGGGGCAGATAACGATGTATAAAGAATCTATTTTGACATCAAATTTTAGAAGAAAAAATTCACAAGTTGCACTTTTCAGTTTACCAAAAGAATAAACAATGACCTTGCCGACCTTCTTGCAAGACAAAGACCGCATAATTTAGATTTTGAGTCATCTTATGTGGATTTACTGATTTCTTTGTCAAATGACTATGTTAAAATCTTTTAATATATGAAAGTTTCCTTTGACGAAGGAAAAAAAACGACGTCCAAGAGAGAATATTGATAAGTATATAAAATTAATTTTACGAGAGCATCTCTAATCTACCTCTATTTTAGAGGAAAAAATAGAGTTTAGAGGAAAATTCTCTCCAATCTAATTCTATTTTTACTTCTAAATATTCTTAAAATATTTATTTTTAAAGGAAAAAATAGAAGAATACATTGAAGAGAAGTGCACCTCTATTTTAGAGTTCTTCTATTTTAGATGAAAAAATAGAAGAACACATTGAAAATGGTCTGAAACATAATATTAAATCGCAGTAGAAGATAATAAATAAGAGTGATTTACTTATTAAAGCACTTTCAAGATTTTGTTTACCAATAAGACACTTGGCACTTTGAACACTATTTGTTTTTGTTAATTCCTATTCTATTTTTTTTCATTTTTGCTTTCTTATCTTCACTTCACATAAATGGATAAATATGAATAATTTTTATGGATAGTATTTTGATGATGTGTACAATACTTTAAATACAAGAAATAAGTTTAAAAAAAAATAGTTATGATCTAGTACTAATATATTTCAAATGTACATATAACATATTTGCGTCCAGTTTAGATATTCAGCGTGGATGTCTTTTTTAAAAGTTTTTCCATCCACCATATAATTGTGAATAGGCATCCATCTCTCTCTATCCACATGTACATATATTACATTTGTGTCTAGTTTAGACGTCTATTATGGATGCTTTTTTTCGAAATTTTGCTATCCACACTATAACTATGGATATGTATCCATCTGCCCCTATCCATATATACATATAACATATATACATCCGATACATGTCGTGTACGTTCATCTTGGAAGTTTTCCCATCCACGCAATAAATGTGGATATGTATCCATCCGCTTCCATCTATATGTACATAGGATTGGCAAAATCTCTGCAGTGTTTTCTTTCTATGAACGAGTTTGGTGAACAGAGGAAAACCAGAACTGATGAAATCTGAACGAATACGCCACAGTGGATGGAGAGAAGAAGGAACGCCACTCCATCTCCGCTAATTTGGTATATGTGGTCCTCTCGAACATCGAAATGGTTTGCGGTGGTTTGCTGGATTTGAGGTTTGAGGGTAGTCGCGATTGAAGGGTCAAAACGAATTGGGGTACGTTGGAGAAAATTAGTCAAATTGTGTAATCAGATAGAAAAGAGAGATATTAAATCGATGGCTGCAATGGATTGTAACCAATAGAAGTGATGGAGGCTGAGAGAAAGTTCACTATCGTTTCTCTGATCTCTTTGGTCAAAAGAGGATTTCTTATCTCTTACCAAAGAGGATTTCTTAAAACTAATGTAGAAATTTGAGAAGATTAAACGGTTGTTTTATTTTGAGGATATTAGTTTTTTATTATATTAAAGTGTACCTGCTGTGAGAAGTGTGTTATTATGTAATACAAGTTGTAGAAAGTGCCCTAGAGTGTAATTTTCTCAATAAATAATGACCTCATGCTGTATTTATCAACAACCCAGAACCCATATTTATAAATATTATGTTAAATACACTATTTATCAATATTATTATGTAATACAAGTTGTAGAAAGTGCCCTAGAGTGTAATTTTCTCAATAAATAATGACCTCATGCTGCATTCATCAACAACCCAGAACCCATATTTATAAATAATGACCTCATGCTGCATTTATCAACAACCCATAACCCATATTTATAAATATTATGTTAAATGCACTATTTATCAATATTTATAAATATTATGTTAAATGCACTTTTTATGTTAAATGCACTATTTATCAATAAATGCATTTATCAATAAATGAAATGTATTTCAACTATCTTGCATAAAAAGAGTTTGATGGTATTCTTAGAAAAATAAGAATTTCCCTTCATTTGATAGAATTTGAATTTTAATTGCATTTTTTTACGGTAATTGCATTTATATACTGTTGGTTGCGGAGAAATAATTATCATTTGTATCTTGCAAGTGATCCCTGAAATTGATGATATTACGACAAAACAACTACAAAATTAAGATGAAAATTGAAGAACAGAAACCGGACGGATTCTCTGGTTAATTAACAGCAATTTAATTCAGATTTTTTTTTTTAAAAAAAAAAACAACATGGTAATGTAATATAGAAGAGAGCTCGATATAAAGATGTTATTTATTTCGTGATCGTTTTTGGTTCTTTAAAATCAATCTTTATTCTTTAACAACTTTTGTTTCATCTTTACGTTTCAAATTTATCTCCGACACAATGTATGAGCCAATTGTAAAGGCTCAAAGCGCCTAACTTTGTCTCAGTTGTAGAACAAAATAAGGACAAGACTGTCTGAAATATCTATTTCAAGTTTTAACTTGAAGTCTGATTATTGTTGTACTTAGAACTTTAACAAACATGAGTAAATGATAAAAAAGACTATCCTTAATTATTTTTCCACCATCTGATCTTTTTTATTTGCCACATCCCATCAGCAATAAGACCTTCATAATTCATCGGAAGAATTATACCCGAAACAAACTTTTCGAACGTGTGATTAATTAATGAGATATCATGGGGCTACGTACGTTCGTGCTGCTAATTTTCGAACCTAACTACCGTTAGTTGAATACCATAGTTAGAGGCACCTAAGCGAATCCTTAATTTAAGAGACTCACCTATACCGAAATAAACCTACTTTAACGGCGATGATCCCAATTTGCGCCAAAATTTTGATTTTTCTAGATTTGGGATTGAAGAACTGGTCACTTTCTCTGCCATAGTAAACGTCTCGGTCTAAACGAAGTTTTTGTTCAGTGTTCATTCGCTCGATAACTTGGACAGCCAAACCGGTTTATACATTAGTATCGACTAATTAGTAACTGGAGGTTGCATGAATTATTAATTAGGTTAAACCGGGTTATCAGAAAATGAATAATAATAATAAATAAATAAACATAAGAAACCGAAACCATACCTTTACTTAATGATTTTGCCAATTTGACAGTCTGTGCATATGTTGGTGCATATGTACGTTGTACATACTTAAATGACACTCTATTTTTTTCTGAATTATTGGTGCATGTGTATGGTTCTACAAATATGTACATGTATAATTTGCATGCACATGTTTATGCATACGTAACGTAGCTCACTTTTTGGTATGCAAATTTAAATTTGATTCTTTTGACTTATTCTTTAACAGTATGAAATAGAATATTAAATTCCAGGTAATACGTTATATACAAATTATTTAGTACATGAGAGACAAAAAAAACATAAAAATATTTGGGGATTCAATGGCTCCGGAGAACACTTATCAAGGAGCGATCTGAAGCATTTTTAACTAGTAAAATACTATATATATAATACGCTATAATAAAATTTGGATAACATTGATCCAATCAAAATTATTTTTCCGTCAGTTTGTTTAATTAAGTAAATTTGAACAAGATGCCATCACCCATGGACACAAGTATCAATATGGTTTTTTCTTATAAAAAAATTTAGTTATTTTCATATTTTTATAATTACTTCAGGAATTATACTGTCTACTAGAGATAAAAGAAAAGAATTACATATTAAAAAAATAATTAATGAATGCGACATGTAATGACTCATGTATGTATCCTCTAGTACAACGTATGTGTGTTCCCTAGGACATATATCCCATAATATATAACTGTTCCAAGAGATTACCAAATTAAAGTGCCATCAATCTTGGAGGTGTCACCTCATTGTTTATCTTATCAGTTCCAAAATGAATCTCAGATTTGTACTTACAGAAAACGTTGCTTATACAATAAACTGAGGTTACATTAATGGTAATCTTTCACTGCTGTCAGTAATGGATGTAACTCTAGGATAGTTATCAATCAAATGAGCAAGGAAAAATAACGTTAAAAGTGTATATATCGCAATTTTCTCACGATCAAGCTAGGTGATATATGGAATAAGTATGTTTGAGATCACTGAAATGACAAAAGCATGTTTGAATCGCAAACTTATAGTAGCAAATGTAATAATAATTGTGAAAATTTTAAACGACCTACGAAAAAATTGTTCTGTGATGGATATATATATATATATATATATATATATATATATATATATATATATATATTATAGAACAACTTCCAAAACAAATCGTAGATATACCTATATAAAAAGAAAATAGATAGAATCATTTGATTGTGAGCTCAAGTTTATGTGGTATTGTTTATGGTAAAACTAGGTATACAAGTTACACAAAGTGAGTAAAAATCATAGTTCTAAACTTCTAAATGCCATGATGACACGTGGCAGTACTCGTGACGCCGGATCCACATGCTCTAACTTTATGCAGTGCCACGTGACGGAAAACGGAAAAATGTCACATGATTGAGCAGGATCTAATGAACTAATCATCCAATGAGATAGCAACACATGTCAAGTGACAGACCTTATCACGTGTACTTTATTCCGACCGTCCCGCCTCGCAAGTGCCCTTCCTAATTTCTATATATGCGTTTTTTACAAAATAGGAAATGAAAAATAATTTTACAAAATGAACAACAACAGTTAGATGAAGTCCTCTTTTCCGTAAAAACGTAATCAAATTAAGAACATATTATTTAGTACAGAACTGACTACTTCAATTCAATGAACCAAAGTTCGGAATAAAAATTTATTAAAAATTGTGAACATTTTTTCATTCGTAACTAATACAATTAAGAAATCATGCAATTTTTACAAATCGTGATGATGATATGGTGATATATAATGAAAACGGTCGTTAATTGACCAACCAAAAGCAATGCAAACGGCTTGTGAATGCATGTGGGAGTAGGCGAGTAGCTGATAATTACTAAATTTCATTGGCTTGGACGCTTTAAGTCATGTGTCACATGTTTATACTATTAATTTTTCCAGTAAGAAATTATTTGTTTCAGTCAAATACATATGTGGAAATCATTTCATTCCACTTCAATGATTGCTTATATGTACGGCTTGAATGAAATCAAGTTGCACTGCATATAACTTGTGTGCATCTTATTCTTAACTGATAGATAGACAACGTATAACTTTATTTATAGTACTCGACTATATATTTTGAGCTTAGTAACTACAGTCTATCCTTTATATATTATATTCTATCTCGAATTTAGAATGTGTTTGAAGTTTATGAAAAATATAAAATTCTTAACTTATTTACTTGAAATGAGATATGCTTTTCTCATTCATTTTCTTATGTTCCTATATTTGCCTTATGTGATTTTAAATATTTTAAGTAGTTATATTATAACATTTTGAATCTGGAACCAAAATAATACAACTACACTAATTAACTACAATCAATTTAACTTAATTGCCTATTCTGCCGACGTGCGAGTCCAAAGAAAAAGACAGCCAATCGTTTCACGTCATTTATTTTTGTCAACAATAAATCAAATATTTGTTTTTAGTCTTGTTGAAGCTTGCAAAAGTCAAATGATGATTACTTCTTAGAAGAACAAATACCGGTCGAATATGGTCCTTTACTTTTTTCTTTAATATTGGAATTAGGTATATATCTTCCCAACCCGTAGACTTCGAGTTCAGGCTGTAAATGAAATTAATATCATGGTGAAAAATAATATTTTCATATCAATAAAAAAAGGTAGTTGAATAACGAATCCTATCAATGTGTGTGCCTTATAAGATCATGTGTTATCTGCTCAAAAAAGCTGAGGACCACGAACCTTTTTTATATCAACCGCCTTCTTTTCAACCTCTACGTTACATTCACCAAAAGGAAAAAATCTCCAAAAATATAGATTTATATATATTCAATTTCGTATGTGGCTAAAAAAAAATATTGATTTTTTTCTCACAGCTTTATGATATTTACGATCTATTATAGTATTAGGAATGTTTTAAATATAACATCAAAACACCAAAAAGGCTAAAGACAAAATTTGGAAATATTATAAATTTATAGCACGAAGTCCTGTATACATCACTATCTTAGTGGTTTCAGATTTGGTGTCCTAACATCGATTCGTTAATCATATAATTAACTAGATCAAAATGCCGACAAAAAACACTAGATCAAAATGAACGTATTTTTCATTTACAATAACTTTTTTTTTGGACAACTATATTAATCTCAAACCCTACGGGTGAAAAATAGATTTATAGATTTAAGTACTTTTATTATATTGGTAAATCTTTGTAACTTGTTCACCAGAAAACTTATCATTTGTAGTTTTTGTGAATAAAAATAGCCATCTGTTTTCTATAAATGATAAAACGAGGCGTGATATCTGTTTTCTTCACACACACACACAAAAAAAACAATTTCATTTATTGCGATTATCCATAATTTTAATATTTTGGGTTGGGAAATAAAACGGTTTGATAGGGATAGTTCGGTAAATTCCGCGATCCCTCCGCCTCAATCAGTATAAGTAAACCGGAACGGTTAAGGAGTCGTTCTTATTTCTTCGTCTTCCTTCTCTTCAACGACCCCTTCTCTTCCACTCTACGTCCCTGCGAAATTACAGAGCCAGAGAAAGAGAAAGAGAAAGAGAATCTCTTTAACACCATTTCTCATTGAAAATACGAAAATTCCAGAATACCACTTCTCTTTCAAATTCTCTCGGATTATGTGAAATCTCAGATTCTAGTTTCGGAAGCTCTGAGAGATTGAGCTACTCCATAGGATGGGTCTGTTTTCTGGGTTGTGGTAGCTGTTTTAGGGTTTTGATTCCTCCTATGGATTTGATCGTCTTGGAATAGCTACTTTGGTTTCTGAGAATCTCAGTTTTTTACTGGTTTTTTGAAAGAAAAATAATGTCGACGAAGATCAAAGGAGAGCATCATCATTACCCTAGAAGCTTCGTATCGAAGAAATGGACATTTCTACTCTGCTTTGCGAGTTTTTGCTTCGGTATATTCTTCACCGATAGGTATGATCTTCTCACAATTTTGAATTTTCCCAGCTATTTCTGAACAGGCTTTTTGATTTTGTTCTCCTTTTGTTTACATGGTGCTCTTATGGTTTGCTTCTTCTGAGATTCATAGAGTCATGAGTACGTTTCGTATTTCAATGGGTTCTGATTATTTTATTCAATTAACAATTCGTCTTTGGGGGTTTTCAAGCTTTTCTCTCATCTGGGTTTGAGTTTTAATTTGTGATCATGAGTTTGAAGCTCACTGTTTCAATTTTCGATTACGATTTGCAATTCAATCCTCGAAGATCACCGATTCTTTGTCTCAAGACATGAACTTTTAACTGTTTGCAGGATGTGGAATATTCCCGAGTCTAAAGACATGGCTCGACCATCATCAGTAACAGAAGCTGAGAGGTTGAAGCTAATCTCCGAAGGCTGTGATCCCAAAACCGTGAGTCCGATGTGTTTGTCCGATCCATTTCAGTACACTTTTGGTCTGAGTTTCAAGAAGATTTCTGAAGTGATCTGATTGGTTTTTCTTTTTTCTTTATAGCTCTACCAGAAAGAAGTAAAACGCGATCCCCAGGCTTTGTTTGGAGAAGTCTCCAAGACTCATAACGCTATACAGTAAGATAAATCTTTAATCTTGTAAATCTTTTTTTTTTTCTCTCGGGGGGTTTTGAAAAACGTTTCTTGTTTAACTTTCAGGACATTGGATAAGACCATTTCGAGCTTAGAGATGGAGTTAGCCGCGGCAAGAACGGCTCAGGAGTCTTTAACGAACGGTGCTCCTTTATCGAATGATGTGGAGAAGAAGCAATTACCGGGGAAAAGAAGGTATTTGATGGTTGTAGGGATTAATACTGCTTTTAGTAGCCGAAAGAGAAGAGACTCTATTCGGACAACTTGGATGCCTCAAGGTTCCAACACCACTTTCTAGCTTCATTGTCTTCGATATTGCTGATATATATCAATATTGTTCCTTGATGATTGTTTCTGTCGAAAATAGGTGAAAAAAGAAAGAAGTTGGAAGAAGAGAAGGGAATTATAATCCGGTTTGTGATTGGTCATAGGTGAGAGAGTTTAAGTCTTTTAGTATAATGTCAGATATCAAATCAATCACTATGTTCTTGCTTTAAACACACTATCTTGTTTGTCATTGGTTCTTTAGTGCCACAGCTGGGGGAATTCTAGACCGGTCCATTGAAGCAGAGGACAGGAAGCATGGAGATATCTTGAGATTGGTACTTTTTCGTTTCTCACTTTTGATATCCGAAGCCGTTATCATGAGTTACTTATCTTCATTTTGTGATTCCCTGATGCTTTTTTAACAGGACCATGTTGAAGGATACCTTGAGTTATCAGGCAAAACAAAAACATATTTTACTACAGCGGTTTCAATGTGGGATGCAGATTTCTACGTCAAAGTAGATGATGATGTTCATGTAAATATCGGTAAGCTCTACAAATCTTGTAGCAGATAATGTCAACATTTTCCCCATTTTTGTATGTTGCTTATATCAATAATTTCCACAGCAACTCTTGGGGAAACTCTTGTTAGACACAGGAAGAAACATCGAGTCTATATCGGCTGCATGAAGTCTGGTCCAGTCCTATCCCAAAAGTACAAATCAAACTTCTCTCTGTTTTCTTCTTTTTGAATCATTTGACCAAATAAAGCTGAACTCACGTTTTTGGTCTATGGAGCAGAGGAGTTAGATATCATGAGCCCGAGTATTGGAAATTTGGTGAGAACGGGAACAAGTACTTCCGTCACGCTACTGGACAGTTATACGCCATTTCAAGAGACTTGGCTTCTTATATCTCCATTAATCAGTAATATTTTGAACTCTTTGCATTGATACTAATGGTTCATTCTGGCATTCTCCATCTAATCTCTCTGTGTCATAAAATGTTCCAGGCATGTTCTGCACAAGTATGCAAATGAGGATGTTACATTAGGTGCTTGGTTTATCGGGCTTGATGTCACTCATATCGATGATAGAAGGCTATGTTGCGGCACTCCTCCTGGTACCTTCTCGGTTTCTCTTCCTTTCCCTCAAAATTTTCAATACAATGTTGATGATTGTGGAGTGGTATAAAGTTAGCTCATTTGTAGTGACACTAATAAACATTTACCTCATGAAAACACTGAATCTGATTCTTGTGGAATTGCAGATTGTGAATGGAAGGCACAAGCGGGGAACATATGTGTAGCTTCATTCGACTGGACCTGTAGTGGTATCTGCAGATCCGCTGATCGCATTAAGGAGGTTCATAAACGATGTGGTGAACCGGAAAACGCTATTTGGAAAGCTACGTTTTGAGGGCGTTCCACAACATACTTGCTTATAAAAAATAGATCATATAAAGAATTGGTTTTTTTAAACCCAACGGTCATCAAACGATGGTCATGAGGAAAACAATTCTTCTTCTGCATATTCTTTATAGAACTAAAGAGATATATGTGCTTTTGTATGATTTGTATCATAGTTACTTACATTACATAGGAGAGGAGGACTAGAGAGAGCTAAGTATATGAACCTCTTGCAAGGTTAGCGTTTTGCGTTTGAGAACGGTTTGCGACAAGCGTTTCCGTTTTAGTAGAAGGAAAACCAGCCGCAGCAGCAAAAGGCGCCTGCTTTGTTCTGTTTTTGGTTGTTTGTGACTTGTGTGTAGCTTGTGGGGTTTTTACTTTTTAGATCAGTTAAAACTGTATTATTGGTTTTGAGTCTTTCGACTAAAGCTTCGACTTTAGATAATACAGTAAATAATAAGATTTGAAGACTTTAATCACTTTACTTTTTCTGAAACGAATGTTTAATATCTTTGTTACAATATGAGGAGGTGAAAAAAAGAACACTGTTTATTTACTCTGTTCGATGGTGGTTCGGTTAGAGTTTGTGCGTTTGGTGGATGATTAAGAGAAGATGCCGGACGGAGAAGGCAATTCCGGCAAGTCCTGAGATCGGTTTTTCCGGAGGAACTGAAATTTTCCATTTTTGTTCTGCTCCCGAAGCTCTCGACGATGTGGGAGACGAAGCAGTGTCTCATTTCTTATTCTCTTAAAAGGGTAAGCTTTTTCTCTCTTCCTCATCTTTTTGGGAATTAGTATAAAATGGTGAAACATCATGACGTCAAATAAGTTCTGTCTGGGTTTTGTTCAGACGCAGACGAATTCGACGGATTTTTCTAGGTGGGAGTTAAAAAAGAAACGCTTGATAGCAAAGTTGAACCAAACAAGAAATAAAGTTGTGTCTTTTAATGATTCACGAGATATTTATTGGAGTTCTTGGGTCTTTGTGTTCCATTTTGGATTCTTCTGTTTAGATTGTTTTCTTCTGATATTTTTTCACTGTTTTGTGTGTTGGGAATGTGTGTGCTGTTTGGTTTCTTCACCACCATTTACGGACTTTATAAGTTTGTTTTCTTCTTAACATTTAGTATTTCACAGTCTCTCTTCATTTTTTTCGTCGGTTTCAGTTTTGCTTTTAGTCACCTTTCCTTCTCCTCGTTACAATAGTCTGTTTGCAAAGTTTGACTCTGAATCTTGAGTTACTACTACGTGGTATGTTGTTCAGCCTAAAGAAATTTCTATGTGATTGTTGTGATCAATACAAGCATTTGGTAAATAAATCGCTTTTTCAAAGAAGAATATGCGTAGACAAGAATGTAGAGAACTGAAATTGGAAAAGGAAAGTATATGGTCATTTCGCACTACATGTGAACAGCAACCCAACAAATGGATAGAAACAAGCGGTCGGGGTCTTTAGTTTAAAGTCTAGATAAGTATCACTCCTTGATAGAATCAACAACACTGTTCAACTTCCACTGTTCTAATTGAAACCTTTGTCCGTTTTCTCTCTTTGTAGACTGAAAGAAAACTCCTTTTATAGATAACATCTTACCAATTTTACATGGCCCTTTCAAGGTAATTTTGGTCTGCTTACTCATTCCCATGTCTTTATATTTATCTATCTGCAGGGTATATTTGATTTAAGGGCCAGTTTACAGTTGAAGCTATGGTGGAAACGGGTTCGATTCTGATGTGGCTCCCTTTGGTAGTGTTGGGATTGTTTGTACTGAAATGGGTGTTGAAGAGAGTGAATGTTTGGATTTATGAGTCTAAACTTGGGGAGAAGAAACATTATCTGCCACCAGGAGATTTGGGATGGCCTTTCATAGGCAACATGTTGCCTTTTCTTAGAGCTTTCAAAACATCTGATCCTGATTCCTTCATCCGTACCTACACCACAAGGTATATATATCACTTCAAATAACTCAGTTTCCGCCATAATTTTTGCTTTTGATTGAGAAAAACATTGATTGTTAGGTTCATGATGGAAAAGTTTGAGATCTTCTTTGTTCTTTCTTGCTTCCCCATGTCTTTATGAATCTCCGTTTCCTCAATGACGCAGGTATGGGCGTAACGGTCTTTACAAAGTACACATGTTTGGGAACCCAAGTGTGATAGTAACAACACCAGAGACTTGTCGGCGAGTTCTAACAGATGATGATGCGTTTCAGCCAGGTTGGCCCAAATCTACCATGGAACTCATTGGCAGGAAGTCCTTTATTGGTATCTCCTTTGAAGAACACAAGCGGCTCAGGCGTTTGACTGCTGCTCCTGTCAATGGCCATGAAGCTCTCTCTGTCTACATACACTACATTGAAGAAACTGTTGTTACTGCTCTGGAAAAATGGTCCAAAATGGGAGAAATCGAGTTCTTGACTCATGTGCGTAAGCTTACGTTTAGGATCATTATGTACATATTTATGAGCACAGAGAGTGAGCATGTTATGGATGCATTGGAACGGGAATATACCAACCTTAACTATGGAGTTAGAGCAATGGCTATTAATCTTCCTGGGTTTGCTTATCATAAAGCACTGAAGGTAATCAACATTTTTCTTTTCTTCACTTTGATTCCTCTCTGGGGATTTGAGGATTAGTTGTTTTCCATTGATACAGGCAAGGAAAAATCTTGTAGCTGCCTTTCAGTCTTCAGTGACTAACCGAAGAAATCAGAAGAAGCAGAATGTGTCATCCAATAAAAAAGACATGCTGGATAATCTAATAGATGCTAAAGATGAAAACGGAAGAACTTTAGATGATGAGGAAATCATCGACGTTCTGTTGATGTATCTTAATGCGGGTCATGAATCCTCTGGACATACCATTATGTGGGCTACCATTTTCCTCCAGGAACACCCTGAGATTCTACAAAAGGCAAAGGTAAAATGAGAAGACATGTTTTCATTTTTCTTTTCCATTTGAGTTTACAATCTTGAGTTGTGATACTCGTTTGTGCCATAGGAAGAACAAGAGAGGATTGTGAAAAAGAGAGCTCCGGGCCAGAATTTGACTCTTAAAGAGACACGTGAAATGGAGTATCTTTCTCAGGTGCCTCATTGCAACACAAAAAATTATTAGCGTTTAGAACATAGTATGATTTGTTACAGAGTCTTTTACTGATGGAAAGAGGTTTTTACCAGGTTATTGATGAGACACTTCGAGTAATAACATTCTCTCTTACGGCCTTCCGGGAAGCAAAGAGTGATGTTCGTATGAACGGTCAGTATACTCATCACCTACATATGGAACATGATAAAATCATCTTAAAACTTGTATATATTAACCTCTCTCATGTTTTGTATACAGGCTATATCATACCAAAAGGCTGGAAGGTTCTGACTTGGTTTAGAGACGTCCATTTGGATCCTGAGATCTACCCGGATCCGAAGAAATTTGATCCTTCAAGATGGGAGGTATGTAGAGATAACAGAGTTTAAAATCAAACTGTGTATGTAAATCGTATTATGGTGTTGCAGTCTCTTATACGTCAAAAAGTAACTGAACATTGTCTGCTTCATTCCACAGGGATACACAGCGAAAGCAGGCACATTCCTTCCTTTTGGTTTAGGAAGCCATCTTTGCCCAGGAAACGATCTTGCCAAGCTCGAGATTTCCATTTTTCTTCACCATTTCCTCCTCAAATACCGGTAACTCTCTATGTGTATATAGCTCAGCTTTCTAGCTCTCATTCTGCATATAGCTGCAGATTCATAATGTTTTTGTTTCCAACGGCAGGGTGGAACGGAGCAATCCCGGTTGCCCGGTGATGTTCTTGCCACACACCAGACCCAAAGATAACTGCTTGGCAAAAATCACCAAAACGACGCCGTAATCATCTTGAAACTAGTATATACCCCTTACCAAATACACTATAAGCAGCTTCTCAGGTTTCCCATTGTCTCTCCTCCTCTCTCCTTTCTAGAACTCGATCCAAACCGGCTTGGTTTGTATTCGGTTTACAGTTTGAAGGATTTTCAAAAGTATTATAATGTTGAAATTTCAGTCGGTTTTATCTCAAATTTGGTAACAATACATAAACAAAATTCGAATTGCCTGAGCTTAGTTTGGTTTGATTATAAGGTAAATTAAGCATCATCCCTCAAAGTGTAGAAAAGGAAAGAGCTTAATTTTTTCCTTTCATTTTCCCATTTAATAGCAAATAATGCATCATTTCCTCTCTTCTCTCACATTATCTAAATGGTACGATCAAACATCTAAATACAGGTGGAGAATTGACTATGGAATTATTAAAAATTAAATATTCAATTTTTTTCTTTTTCTTGGTCGAATTAAATATTCAATTTTGTTGGTATGGCTGAGTATAGGTACTTACTTTTCTCGAAATTAAGATTAAAGAGACAAATTATGTAAGAAAATAAAATAATAATATTAAGGATAAGACATAAGAGTAAGTAAAGCCCCACACAGCATAGTCACAACAACACCGTTATCTCCTGTCCACTATCTGAGTTTACAGACATACACACAAACAACAAATAGACAGCTTCTGTTTGATTTCTTCATCATTTTTAAATATAGTAACTTTTCATTACCCAGAGATTAAGAAGATTCATAATCAGTTTATCACGATTCTCGCCACAAGGCCCCAAAATTGATCCGTAATTTCTGTTTTTCTTTTTCCTTTCAGTTTCATGTGATTGTCCTGTTTTTGGGTTTTGCTACATTGGTTTCTGTAACCTCACTTTTGCTTTTTTTTTAATTTTCAATCTATCCTCTTTTTTAGCCCTGATTTGTGGGGGAAGGGAAGAAAAAAAGGTTGGATTTTTTATTTTTTTTCTCCGGTGAAAAATGACGACCAGAGGAAGCAGATCGGAGAAAGTTAAGAGAATTTTCCAGCAATTCGACGGGAACCGCGACGGTGGGTTAAGCCGGGAAGAGATGTCAGCTCTCGTCGTGGCTGTGAACCCAAGGGTGAAATTCAGCGACGAACAGATTAGCGCGATTCTCGACGAAGTGTTTCGAACCTACGCTGAGTTCATCGACGGAGACAGAGGTTTGACCCACGACGGTCTTCTCCGCACTTACGACGACGGTGCCGGAGACGTCGATCGTGATTTCGACGCTTTGGGTCTCGAATTCAACGCCGACGACGCAAAGGGCTCGGAAGCCTCGTCGTCCTCTATTACCGACGAGAGAGCCGTGGAGTCTCAGAGGCACCAGAGAACGGCGGCTTGGGCGGTTTCTCCCAACCACGGCATCGTTTTCGACGAGACGTGGAAGCTCGTCGACGATTTGGAGATTCTGGTGAAGAGACTGAAATCGAAGCAGGACAAAGACGGGAAACCGAAAGCCGACAACGTGGACGCGGTGTCCGAAGCCGGATGGTCTCGAGAGCTGGGTCCGTCGTCGGATTCATCCGACAAGAGAGTCATCCATTGGGAAGAATCGAGCCACGATTACACAGTCTTCGTGAAGGAGCTAGGAGTTCTGAGGAGCAAAGCAGATGGCGCAAGATCAAAAGAAGAAGCTTTCGATGGACACATGGCGATTGGTAGAGTTTTGTACGAGCACCAGCTGTTCAAAGAAGCTCTCGTTAGCTTCAAGAGAGCTTGCGAGTTGCAACCAACGGACGTAAGGCCTCATTTCAGAGCAGGGAACTGTCTCTACGCTTTAGGGAAGTGCAAAGAATCTAAAGACGAGTTCTTGCTGGCGTTGGAAGCTGCAGAGTCAGGTGGGAATCAATGGGGTTACTTGCTTCCTCAGATTTACGTCAATCTCGGAATCTCCCTGGAAGGAGAAGGTATGGTGTTGAGTGCTTGTGAGTACTATAGAGAAGCTGCGATTCTCTGTCCAAGGCATTACAGAGCCTTGAAGCTTCTAGGTAGTGCTCTGTTCGGTGTTGGTGAGTATAGAGCGGCCGTGAAGGCCTTGGAGGAAGCTATATACTTGAAACCGGATTACGCGGATGCTCACTGTGATCTGGCCTCGTCGCTTCATGCTATGGGTGAGGATGAGAGAGCTATTGAGGTTTTCCAGAGAGCTATAGATTTGAAACCTGGTCATGTCGACGCGCTTTATAACCTAGGTGGGCTTTACATGGATTTGGGTAGGTTTCAGAGAGCTTCTGAGATGTACGCTAGGGTTTTAGCTGTTTGGCCTAACCATTGGCGTGCTCAGCTCAACAAGGCTGTGTCTTTGTTGGGTGCTGGAGAGACAGAAGAAGCTAAACGAGCTTTGAAGGAAGCTCTGAAAATGACTAACAGGGTCGAGCTGCACGACGCGATCTCTCATCTGAAGCAGTTGCAGAAGAAGAAGGTGAAAACCAATGGGAATAGTGTGAATGAAGAAGGTCCGTTTATCGTAGTGGAGCCTTCAAAGTTCAAGACTGTTGGGGAGAAGACGACTCTGAGACCAGACTTAGCAGCAGCTCTTGAAATAAGAGCGTTCCAGAGAGTTACAAGGCTTGGAAAATGCGATGTCGAAGCGTTGAGAAGAGAGATGAGAGACAACGATGTTCCCGTGTCTTATTCCGGCAATGGCGTCCCCTTGAAGTCTATAAGGAAACCAACCTTGGAAGAGATTCTCCGGCGTCTGCTTAACGTCCTGAAACCGGAGACGTTCCAAGGAGCGATCAAGGCCGTGAACGAGAGAATCCTCACGGTGCTCGATGATTCAGGGTCGGGGAGAATCGATTTAGGAATGTTCTACGCGGTGATTGCTCCTTTGTGCGGTGGCCATCAAAACAAAAGGAAAAGAGTTGCGTTCGATGCGCTTCTTTGGAGACCTGGAAACGAAGGAAGCTCTCGGATTACAAAAGCGGATGCTTTCAAATACATCAACCTCTTGAGAGCTGTCTACATACAGTCACAAGGGATGAGCGAGATGTTAGAAGTTCATGGAGAAACCGATGCTTCGACTGTAACGTTCAACCAGTTTCTTGGGATGTACGATGATTCGGAGTGGGGGTTTGGTATCATGACGACCGTTGTGAAACTCGAGACAAGAGATAGGAATCGACACGGGAACCAAGTTTGTTCGGTTTGTCGTTATCCGATCATTGGTTCCCGGTTTAAGGAAGTGAAAACCGGGTTTGGCCTCTGTAACCAATGTTATAGCGAAGGGAAAGTTCCTCCAGCGTTTAAACAGCAGGAGGAATATAGCTTCAGAGAGTATGGGAGTGAAGTGGAAGCCATGAAAGCTAAGTGTGTTTGTTTTTCAATGCAGTCTCATAAAAAATCGATTGCCACTTAGAAATATTATCCACAAAGCTTTTTTGTGATCTTTGTTCCTTAGTTTGTAGTTTTATTTTTGTTCGTTTACTGTTTTATTTAAGTTGTTTGTATAGTTTTGAACTGAAGTATTTGCTGGTGAGCAACTATTATTATATTTCTTTTTGTACTCTAAAATTGATTTTCCTTAACCACCCAATTTCAGTTTAATATGATTTTGGTCAACGGTCGTGAATGGTGTGGTATGCAATTTCAAACATTCAAGGCTTGGCAAATCATTAAAATATTTGTACAGTATATATATACTGATCCGTTGATACAGGGTCTGTTATGTCAGAATCAGACCAGTCCAGAATCTAGAATGTTGCATATTAATGCTAATTTTGGAATGAGTACTTTTTTTAGATGATTCCACCCTATTTTTTAAGATGATTTCACCATACTATTTGCCTCGCATAGTGCTACTTGATTCAGTATTAAATATATATATATATATATATATATTGTGGATCACGTTTTAGCATGTCTTTTGCTTTGGGGTCATCACGAGTGACATCAAACATATTTAAGATGCATGGATGTATAAATGAGATAAAGTCTCATAAAGTAAAGTAAAAATGTAGAAGGATTTGAAGAGACTTCTGATCTAAGAACTGTGGTGTGATGTCAGAACTCAGATAAGGTGCAAGTATATAGAAATTAGGGAAAAATATACATCCGACTACTTGCAATATATTGTTTTATCTTCATTTTTTTATTTTTCTTTCTTGGGGTGCCAAAATTTAAGGAGATTGTTTCTTGGAAGAGTGTGGAATAATTCGCAAATGACATAAGCCAATGGCAGTGGATACATATAGTCGTCTAGCTGCCCAATCACATTACATCTCCCCCAATTTTCTACTCTATAGCTCTTCCTTGTTGCTTCTATTCAACTATTCCTAACGTGTGTGACAATAATTCTTCTTAGTAAATATCTAATTGAATGGCGTTAAGTGTCCCGGTTTACACTTGTTTGAGATCCTTAAAATGTAGTTTTTAAGGTAGTATATACACTACTTGGGTTTAGAGCTAGTACCATTGTTACAAATTTGAGATATTTTTTTCTTAGTATATAAAGATTATGGAGTTTTTTTTTTTTTTTGCTTAAATAAAGATTATGGAGTTGAGTAATCGACTAATGTTAATTGATTGTGAGATGGTGAACTTAAGTGTTTTTGTAAAGAGGATTGGGTAAATCTAAACTATCAAATTCGAAACTAGGATTTGCCCGAAAATGAATAAGTAAAAGAAACTATCATTTTTTTTTCCTCAAAAATATGTTATTAACTTTCTTATCTATCTTCCAATTGGAAACTAATGATCAATTTCCATATTATGCATATGCATGCACATGGTAGTTTGCTTAAATTTTGATGAAAAAGGTGGACATCTCTTGTAATCTTGTTCATCTATAAATTTGATTAATGTGTGTCACCCTTGTATAAAAAATGATATGAGTTGACAAAAAGGAAAAGCTCTAATTCATTTTTTTTAACAAAAGAATAGTGGTCATTTTTTTTTCAAAATTCATGTAAGACAAAAGTTACTCTCTCCATTATTAACTATATTATGTTTTGAGACTTTTTTTAATTGAAATATATATGATATATTCATAATTCAAAATAAATTTTATCAATAAATGACTTGATTTACCTTTATATTAATTGATGAATTATAAAATAAGCAATAATTGAAAGGGTTACAATATATATTTTATAACTTTTTTTTTTAATTTATGTGCAAAGTTTTAAAAGATCATATAAAAATGAAGAGAAATACTTAAACGCTAATTTCAGATAATAGAAAAAATTATGGGCCAAACCACGCTTTAAAAAAAAATTAGTCATTTCAAATTTCTCTTTTGTTTTTTCTTTGGCCCATTGAAAACATGTTAACATAAAAGTTCATTGCACATCCCACAATCTGAACAGCTTAAAAGAAATATCTTACACAAACAGAGTCAAATTAAGCTCACAATTAGCTCTCTCTCTCTCTCTCTCTCTCTCTCTCTCTCTCTCTTTTTCCCCCAAATACCAAAGAAATGATTTCGCTCAATGAGGAGGTTCCAAATTAGCAGATTCCAGGCATGTTGCCCCAAAAGCATGACCCCAACGAGGCTATAGGATCTACACTGGACGAAGGCGGAGCGTTGTATGGTTCCGCCATGTTGTTACCTTGATGGTTTCCGACAAACATTCCGCTCGGCGAAGCAAGATTTGAGGCTTCGGTTTGCATCTCTGTCGTCGTCCCGTACCAATCAGGTAATGGTGTCGTTGAAGGGAAGTTGTTGAGAAGGCTCATCAATATGTCGTCATCATCATCCACCGTTGCTTTCACCATCGTTGGGTCATTGTACTTGTAAACATTAGGGCTCGCTTCTGTTCATTTCACAATATATAATTTAATTAGATTAAAAAATTCCATATAATCTTCGACACTACCAAGATCTATGCTAGATTCGATTTCATCACTTTGATAAGTGATTTATAAAACCAACAAAACTAAACCGGAATCCGGATTAAACACCTGGTTATACCAAAAGATGTATTAATTAAATGAAATCAAACCATACGTGCTTACCGAAAGATGATTGATGAGAAGAGTTTAGCCGATTCTCAAACTCCATCTCCACGGGTTTGTCTTGATTCTCACATAGATTACTCGAAGAAGCCCTGACATCCTTGAACATTCCGCCACGAGACAAGGCTTGAGCCTCCTCCACGAGGGCGTCAAGCAATCCACTGTTGGTCGGAGGTGGATTATAAGGGACACCGTTGTCGAGAATGGTATTAGAAGTGAGCGAGTGACTCGGTGTTTGGTTCGAAGGAAGCTCTAGGACGGCATTGTCTAGTCCTAAAGGGAAAAAGCTCGCTCCCATCTCATGATCTCCCATAAGCAACGAACTGAAACTCATAGCATCAATGTCTTTCTTGTTTCTGGTCGAATTCTCGGAGATGAGCTCAAGAAGTTGGTCGGGACTGCACAACTCATTCGAGGATGCGGATGATGACAAAGGAAGAGAGAAAGCAAAGTGGTTATTGTCATCCTCAACGTCAACAAGGGTATCGTTGTTCTCGGAAAGAGAGAACATTTGAAAATTCGGAGTAGCGGGGAGCTCGTCTAGGCCTTGATTAGTAGAGATTAAGGGATCTAAACACACCCTTTTTGGAGGTTGAGAAGACGAAGAAGAGAATGAAGACGAGGATGATGAAGTATTTGAGGAATTGGTGTATTGGATCATGTTTTGGTGGTTTTGAAGGTCTTGGTTTTGGAATTGAAAGGAATCAAACTCAAACTCAAACTCATCATCATTATGATGATCATCATCAATTCCTTGACGAATCTCATGAGGGTATAGAGGCAAACCAGCTCGTTGTCTTCTCTTCATCCTTGTGTTCCAATAGTTCTTGATCTCGTTGTCTGTTCGTCCAGGTAACTACAACAATATCGAAAGAACAAAAAAATTAAAGATAAAAAAAATAAAAAATAGAAGAGATGCAAGATTAATCATGCCAAAAGAAAGAGAAAGAGAGATTCAAACACATTGAAACATGCGAATTATGTGTTTAACTAGAAAAATAAAATTGCAATATTAAGAGCTCTTTAATTTCTTGAATTGAAGAAACCAAAAAGGTAATTTTTTTTATAAAAAAAGCTTTTATTTTTTTAATGAAAAAAAAAAGTTTTTTTTATGAGAAAATGAACCTGAGTAGCCATACGAGCCCATTTGTTACCCAGCTTAGCGTGAAGCTCGATGATGATCTTCTCTTCGTCAGGACTAAAAGATCCTTTCTTCAGATTTGGTCGGAGATGATTCGCCCACCGTAGACGACAGCTTTTCCCACACCGGAGCAAGCCTGTGTTCTTCTGCACGGCGTTCCAATTACCTTCGCCGTGTTTCTTCACGTGTTCCATCAAGATCGCATCCTCCGTCCCCGTCCATGGCCCTTTCTTCAGCCCTCTCGCATCCGCCGTCGCCGCCGTCATCTCTTCACCACCGTCCATATCCTATTGAAGACGGCGACCCTCCGATCAAGGAGGAAAAAGAGGATTTTTTTTTCTCTCTGTTACTTGATATATACGATGTTTGTATATGTGTATGTATTTGTATATATAAGTATTTTTGTGTGTTATGAATTAGAGATATATAGAGAAAGAAAGAAAGAATGAATTTTTTTTTTTGGAGGTGTTTGGTGTATATTTGGAAGTGATATAAATTTGTAATAATTATTACGTAATAATTGTTGTTATTACGTGCTTTATTTAAACTTTAATGCTTTCTTTTGGCTCTTTCTTCGTCTCTACGGTCTTTCCTTGGAGAGAAGACAGAGAGGTTTTATGAAATTACAGAGAAAGTTGATGAGAGAGATAAGATAATTGTCTGTCTTTAGACCAATTCAAGATAACAAAGAGATTTGTGTGAAAGATAATTATCACCTTTTAGTGCTTCAGTCTCATATTTTCCAAATCTATTTGAATCTTTTATATTTATTTGTGTTTATATTAAGTCGTTCTCAATAATCCATAGTAATTAGTCAAAGGCGTCTATTTGATGTTAACAGAGAATCTAATAGAAAATGACTTGTTCCACCCATTAATAAACTTTTATGAAACATAGATAATCACTCGAATTAAGTATGATCAAGCTAGAAACATTAATTAAAGCGATAAAATTAATCTAAGATACAAAAAAAAATGGAAAAGAAAAAAAAAAGGAGAGGAGTGAGCTTCTTTCACGGCCGCGCATTGCATGCCTAATGGAATGGGACGTTCTCTTCAAAGACGCGTTTTTCTCTTATTTACTTCTCTCTTACTCCTTTTCTTTTTCCCCCACGCCTTTTCTGTCTTTCTTCTGGCTTTTATTTGTTTTAATTTTTTTTTAAAAAACCAGAAAATATATTATGTAATGATTCATTATTGTTATGTTTTTTTTAAAGGCAAGAGGAAAATAAAGATAATTCAAATGTTATTTCGTGCGATATTTCATGCAAAATTACGTTGGCATGATCACTTTTCATATGGGAACATTTTTATCCTAAGAGTTTAAGTCTTATAAGCAAATACTTCTTTCTAAGAGCAAATACTCCCCCAAAGTGTCAAACTGTTTCAGAGTACTACTCCTCTTCAAAGATTTTCCAACTTTTTCATTAAAACTCTATTAAGAGGTAAAAAAGGTAGTTTAATTAAAATTTCGGTTATTTTGTCGTATATACATAATTCACGAGTTAAACCCATCTGACTATATCTTTTCTTTCTAAAGAATAGATTTACTTTGCTATCAATGCAGTTAACTATTTTCTACTTGAAAACAAATTAATGTTAAGCTCTAGAGTTGGAAAAAAAAATCTTTTAAGACTAAAATTATAACTAAAAGATAATATCTAATTACATTGTAAAATTTACCTATGATTAAAAACAAAGTTTTTAATACTGTTCAATTCATTAAAATTAACTTCTATTTGAAAATAATTTGAATGTTAAAACTCTGGTTGGCTAAAATATTTTAAAGATAAGATTTTAGTTTAAAAATATAACGCGAGGCTATAATATTTAAATTAGTGTCAAATAGACATAAAGATAAAATTAAGTATTTTTTTTTAAATAGTGTTTAATGCTTTTAAACTAATTTATATTTAGAAATAATTTTTTTAAACACTCCAATTGGCTAAAAATATTTACAGATAAGATTTTTGCTTTAAAATACAACGCGTGGATACATTAGATTTATCTATAACTTTTAAAAAATATTTAGTTAAAGGTGAATACATTTAATGATTTCTATTTAGAAATCATTGAATTTTGAACAATATACTTAAAAAAAACAAAAATATAAATTATAACTAAAAGATAAATAATATTTTACTATATAAAAAAAATATTATAAAAAATCTGAGAAAGTAAATTTAAATAGGATTGAAGCATTAAAACTAATTACAATTGGAAATAATTTGTGGGTAAATACTAGAATTGGCTAAAATCTTATCTTTAAAAGATTTTAGTATAAAAAAATAACGCGTGGCTTTATCTGATTCATATATAATTTTTAGTGTTAAATAATGAATATTTAAATTTTAAATACTGAATATTTTAAATTTTAAACTTATAATAAAAAAATCTGGTTAGCTATAATAAAAATAATCTGGTTAGCTGTATGGTCATATGGGCACATTTTTATCATAAGAGTTTAAATCAATAAGCAAATACTTCTTTCTAAGAGCAAATACTCCCCCAAAGTGTCAAATTGTTCCAGAGTACTAGTGTACTACTCCTCTCCAAAGAATTTTCTAAATTTTTCATTAAAAATCTAATAAGAGGTAAGAAAGGTAATTTAATTAAAATTTCTGTTATTTTGTCGTATATACATAATTCACGAGTTGAACACATCTGACTATATCTTTTCTTTCTAAATAATAGATTTAGTTTGCTATGAATGCATTTGACTATTTTCTACTTGGAAACAAAATAATATTAAGCTCTATAAAATTATAACTAAAAGATAATATCTAATTACATCGTAAAATCCACCTATGATTAAAAATAAAATTTGAAATACTGTTCAATCCATTAAAATTAACTTCTATTTGAAAATAATTTGAATGTTAACACTCTGGTTGACTAAAATATTTTAAAGATAAGATTTTAGTTTAAAAATATAACGCATGGATATGATATATAAATAAGTGTCGAATGGACATAAAGATAAGATTTTTTAAAACTGAATAGTGTTTAAAACTAATTTATATTTAGAAATATTTTTTTTAAACACTCCCATTGGCTAAAAATATATACAGATAAGATTTCTACTTTAAAATATGACGCGTGGATACATTAAATTTATCTATAACTTTTAAAAAATAGTTAGTTAAAGGTGAATACCTTTAATGTTTTCTATTTAGAAAACACAGAATTTTTAACAATATACATAAAAAAAAATATAAATTGTAACTAAAAGATAAATAATATCTTACTATATCAAAAAAAAGTTTATAAAAAATATGAGAAAGTAAATTTAAATAGGATTGAAGCATTAAAACTAATTACATTTGGAAATAATTTGTTGTTAAACACTATAATTGGTTAAATCTTATTTTAAAAGATTTTAGTATAAAGATACAACGCGTGGCTTTATCGGATTCATATATAATTTTTTAATGTTAAATAATGATTATTTAAATTTTATTTACTGAATATTTTAAATTTTAATTTTATAATAAAAGTAATCTGGTTTGCTGTATGGTCATATGGGCACATTTTTATCATAAAAGTTTAAGTCTTATAAATAAATACTTCTTTTTTAAAACAAATACTCCCCCAACGTGTCAAATTGTTCCAGAGTACTAGTGTACTACTCCTCTTCAAATATTTTCTAACTTTTTCATTAAAACTCTGATAAGAGGTAAGAATAGTAATTTAATTAAAATTACTGTTATTTTGTCGTATACACATAATTCACAAGTTAAACACATCTCACTATATCTTTTCTTTCTAAATAATAGATTTAGTTTGTTATGAATGCAGTTAACTATTTTCTACTTGGAAACAAATTAATGTTAAGATCTATAGTTGCAAAAAAAAACTTTTCAGGCTAAAATTATAATTAAAAGATAATATCTAATTACATAGTAAAATCTACCTATGATTAAAAAAAAGTTTTAAATACTGTTCAATCCATTAAAATTAACTTCTATTTGAAAACAATTTGAATGTTAAAACGCTAGTTGGCTAAAATATTTTAAAGATAAGATTTTAGTTTAAAAATATAATGCATGGTTATAATATTTAAATTAGTGTTGATTGGACATAAAGATAAGATTTAAGATTTTTTTTAAACAAATAGTGTTTAATGCATTTAAACTAATTTATATTTAGAAATCATTTTTTAAACACTCCAATTGGCTAAACATATTTACAGATAAGTTTTTTGTTTTAAAATAGGACCCATGGATACATTAGATTTATCTATAACTTTTGAAAAATATTTAGTTAAAGGTGAATACATTTTATGTTTTCTATTTAGAAATCATAGAATTTTGAACGATATAATTAAAAAAAATTAAAATATAAATTATAACTAAAAGATAAATAATATCTTGCTATATCAAAAAAATAGTTTATAAAAAATCTGAAAAAGTAAATTTAAATAGGATTGAAGCATTAAAACTTTTTTTACATTTGGAAATACTTTGTTGGTAAACACTGGAATTGGCTAAAATTTTATCTTTAAAAGATTTTAGTATAAAAATACAACGCATGGCTTTATCGGATTTATATATAATTTTTAGTGTTAAATAATATATATTTAAATTTTAAATACTAAATATTTTAAATTTTAACCTTATAATAAAAATAATCTGTTTAGCTATAATAAATATAATCTGGTTAGCTGTATGGTCATATGGGCACATTTTTATCATAAGAGTTTAAGTGAATAAACAAATACTTCTTTCTAAGAGCAAATACTCCTCCAAAGTGTCAAATTGTTCTAGAGTACTAGTGTACTACTCATCTTCAAAGATTTTCTAACTTTTTTATTAAAACTCTAATAAGAGGTAAGAAAGGTAATTTAATTAAAAAAATAGTTATTTTATCGTATATACATAATTCACGAGTTAAACCCAACTCACTCTATCTTTTAATTCTAAAGAATATATTTACATTGCTATGAATGCAGTTAACTATTTTCTACTTGGAAACAAATTAAGGTTAAGCTCTATAGTTGAAAAAAAAATATTTTAAGGCTAAAATTATAACTAAAAGATAATATCTAATTACATCGTAAAATCCACCTATGATTAAAAACAAAGTTTTAAATACTGTACAATCCATTAAAATTAACTTCTATTTGAAAATAATTTGAATGTTAAAAATCCGGTTGGCTAAAATATTTTAAAGATAAGATTTTAGTTTAAAAATATAACGCGAGGCTATAATATTTAAATTAGTGTCAAATTGACATAAAGATAAAATTTAGGATTTGTTTTTTTTTAAAAATCAAGTTTAATGCATTTAAACTAATTTGAATTTAGAACTAATTTTTTTAAACACTCCAATTGGCTAAAAATATTTACAAATAATATTTTTGCTTTAAAATACGACGCGTGGATACATTAGATTTATCTATAACTTTTGAAAAATAGTTAGTTAAAGGTGAATACATTTAATGTTATCTATTTAGAAATCATAGAATTTTGAACAATATACTTAA